TGTTGTTACATGTTGAAGTTGAAGCTTCCATATTAGTTTTTTTTTTTTTTAAAAGAGGGGAAGCAAAGGGAAAGAGATAAATCTGATTCTGAAAGAGAGAAGTTTCATAGTCTGGGAAGCCTATCATTGGAGGATAAGTCTAAGAGAGAAGTGGGGATTTTTCCATGGTATGGTGTAAAATTTTGGGAAGATAACATAGATAATATTAACTATAATTTGAGGGGTTTTGCAAATGAAACGACAAGAGGGTTTAACCTTCTGTGAAGACTCAAAGGAGTATTGATAGATAGATATCAATTTTGATTGTCTCATTATTTTTCAAATGTTTTTCAATATTAGTGTGATTTTAGTGTTTTGTTATGAATCAAAGGGGGGAAATAGAATAATGTGATTCATTTTATATATTATTTTTATATTCTTAGTTGATATTGATGTTTTAATTTGAATGTGTTGTTTTGCAAAAGATACTGTTTGGTCTTTTATTTTCTTCCAGAAGCATATGGGGGAATATGTAGAGATTGAAATACTCAAACAAGGACAATATGAAAGGACAATATGAAGGGACTGGAGGAGATGGAACAAGGAAGGTGTGGAAATGTTCCGATTCCATCATCAACGATGCATTGGAAGTCGACACTGCTGAGGAGATGAAGTGTAGTGGAGTACATTCCAGTGTCTGCAATGATATATAGACATATTTGCATGTGGAATACATAATTTGTGTCATATTCTTTCTGTATTAGGTATTAATTTTTGTAGAATGATATTTGCTGTTATTAGATACATGTGGGGATCTCAGATGTTTTTGTTTATTTCGTGAATGCTTAGGGACATGGAGTCTAGGCAGGGATAGAGAGGAATCCACAGTAGGGTCCGATGGGTCGACCAGCCTGAGTGTGGACATTTTGGATAGTATTTTGTTTGCTGGGGCTTTCATGTGTATTTAATTGCATCATAGTTTCAAATGCATTGATAAAGATTTATGAATTGATCTGGAGTACTTAGGTGGTTGCCTGGGGCAGAGGGGCCGTGAGAGAATTTTACTGTCTTGATTGATGGATGGATGTTTGGAAAGAAGGCTGCCAGACAGGTTTTTCGCTCTCACACTCCATAAAGATTTGTTCATGTTTCATAGAAATGTATTTACACTCCAGAGAAAAGTGTTTTGGGTTTATTGTTAAAGATAATCAATAAGAGAAATTGTTACTTGTCATAATCCTATTCTTTTTGTTTTCGAGACTTTTAGTTAGTCTCGAAGGGGGGAAATATGTAGTGTATGAAGAATTATGACTTTGCTAATGTTTTCAAGTGGAACCTGAGAGGATGTTTATTCAGTTTTACAGGGAGCCGTTTTAGAGTGACACCCCATAGAACAGAGGAAGTCTGTTTGTTGGAGACAGGTGATTGGACAGTATGGGGAACCACCCATATCTTGGTAAAGATTATAAGTACTGGGTTGGAACAAAGAAGATCAGAACAGACATATTCTTTTGGGACACTGTTCTCCGGATGCTGCAGACGTCTGTAAACTTATGCTGAACACTTGTGATATAAATCAAACGTATAATCGAAGTACAGTATAAGCAGACTCCTTTGTTTCAGAGCATAATTAGTAACGGTTTCTCGACACTACACCAACACCTCCTTTGGCCGCAATTCCTTCCAGTTCTCTGCTGCCAATGACTGGAACGAATTGCAAAAATCTCTGAAGCTGGAGACTCTTATCTCCCTCACTAACTTTAAGCATCAGTTGTCAGAGCACCTTAATAATAATAATAATATGCCATTTAGCAGACGCTTTTATCCAAAGCGACTTACAGTCATGCGTGCATACATTTTTGTGTATGGGTGGTCCCGGGGATCGAACCCACTACCCTGGCGTTACAAGCACTGTGCTCTACCAGCTGAGCTACAGAGGACCACACCTGTACACAGCCCATCTGAAATTAGCCCACCCAACTACCTCATCCCCATATTGTTATTTATTTTGCTCATTTGCACCCCAGTATCTCTATTTCCACATCATCTCTTGCACATCTATCATTCCAGTGTTAATACTAATTGTAATTATTTTGCACTATAGCCTATTTATTGCCTTACCTCCATAACTTGCTACATTTGCACACACTGTATATATATTTTCTGTTGTATTTTTGACTTTATGTTTTGTTTTACCCCATATGTAACTCTGTGTTGTTGTTTTTATCGCACTGCTTTGCTTTATCTTGATCAGGTCTCAGTTGTAAATGAGAACTTGTTCTCAACTGTCTTACCTGGTTAAATAAAGGTTAAATAAAAATAAATAAATAGAAATTGTTCTTCCTCTGTTAACCATGGTTAGCTGCAAGGAAACATGTGCCGTCATCATTGCTTTGCACAAAAAGGGCATCACAGGCAAGGATATTGCTGCTAGTAAGATTGCACCTAAATCAACCATTTATCAGATCATCAAGAACTTAAAGGAGAGAGGTTCAATTGTTGTGAAGAAGGCTTCAGGGCGCCCAAGAAAGTCCAGTAAGCGCCAGGACCGTCTCCTAAAGTTGATTCAGCTGCGGGATCGAGGAACCACCAGTGAGGCGAATACTTTTGGAGGATGGCCTGGTGTCAAGAAGGGCAGCGAGGAAGCCACTTCTCTCCAAGAAAAACATCAGGGACAGACTGATATTCTGCAAAAGGTACAGGGATTGGACTGTCATTATCTCTGATGAATCCCCTTTCCGATTGTTTGGGGCATCTGGAAAAAAGCTTGTCCGGAGAAGAGAAGGTGAGCGCTACCATCAGTCCTGTGTCATGCCAACAGTAAAGCATCCTGAGACCATTCATGTGTGGGGTTGCTTCTCAGCCAAGGGAGTGGGCTCACTCACAATTTTGCCTAAGAACACAGGCATGAATAAAGAATGGTACCAACACACCTCCGAGAGCAACTTCTCCCAACCATCCAATAATAGTTTGGTGATGAACAATGTCTTTTCCAGCATGATGGAGCACCTTGCCATAAGGCAAAAGTGATAACTAAGTGGCTCGGGGAACAAAACATCGACATTTTGGGTCCATGGCCAGGAAACTCCCCAGACCTTAATCCCATTGAGAACTTGTGGTCAATCCTCAAGAGGTGGGTGGACAAACAAAAACCCACAAATTCTGACAAACTCCAAGCATTGATTATGCAAGAATGGGCTGCCATCAGTCAGGATGTGGCAAAGAAGTTAATTGACAGCATGCCAGGGCGGATTGCAGAGGTCTTGAAAAAGAAGGGTCAACACTGCAAATATTGACTCTTTGCATAAACTTAATGTAATTGTCAATAAAAGCCTTTGACACTTATGGAATGCTTGTAATTATACTTCAGTATACCATAGTAACATCTGACAAAAATATCTAAAAACACTGAAGCAGCAAACTTTGTGAAGACCAATACTTGTGTCATTCTCAAAACCTTTGACCACGACTGTACTATCACAGTGACTATATGAAGAATATGAAACTTGTATAAGTTCACATGAAATGGCTTATCACAAAATGAAACATTCTTGCTAGTTGCAAATAAAAACAGTCCTTTGCACCACGCAGGTAGTAGATCTAAAGTGAAAACGTAATTTTTTCCCAATTGCAAATAAAATCTGACTTTTGCACCATGGATCGGTAAAACAAGGGTCAGTGCAAATTTCCCTGCCGTAAAAAAAATTACCTAAAACACTTGGCTCACACAAATAATGCTCTTTCCTCACAAAATAAAACGCTTTACCAGTTGCAAATAAAAATAATTCCTGCACCACTCACTTGGTTAATCCAGTAGCCATCAAGCTAGGCGACAGCGCAAATTTCCCTGCCATTAACAAAATGCTTGGCTCCCGCGAAGTATGCATTTTCCCCTCCTTCCTTGCTCTCTCAATCATCGGCCACTGATGATTCCGAGCTTCTTTATCAAATGCTGTCAGGTCATCCTTGAACCTCAGGTTGTTGTTCTTTAAATAGTAATTTTTCTTTGCACGTTTCCATGTCAGATCCCTCGCTGTCCTGGAGATGTATCTCATGATCACTGGTCGCGTGGCTGGTTGTTCTCCCCATCTCTACCCAGGCGGTGCACCACATCCAGGGAACCTGCAACAACACTCTGCTTAGTCTCCGGGACAATTGCCCTGCAAATGTCCTTCACCCTTGCTTTGATGTTCTCATCAGATCTTTCAGCGATTCCGTAAATTTGAAGATTCCATCTCCGACTGTACCGGTCAGTCTCGTTAACCTCTGACACCATTTCTGTGAGTTTCTTCTCCTGCTTTGCAACCTGAATTTTCAGTGTTGCGTTCTGCTGCTTCAGAGTATTTACTTCCTTAGCATTGAAATCAATCACTTTCTTCAGGTTAACGATGCTGACAGTGTTCTTTTTCACCAAGTCCATGATCTGCGCTCTCTTTGATTTTAGCCGTGAGGATGTGGATGATGTTGTCCTATAGCTGACTCAGTGATGGTTCGCTTCTCAGCCTCTGGAAGTTGCACCTTGGTTGGGGTATTCAGGTATGAATCACATTCACTCCTTTTTCTACACTACAAGCATATGAACGAGTTTCAGCAATGCCTCTTTTCTCCTTGGAAGTCTCAACAGCCGTTATCTCAGCAACAGTTTGGTTATGTCCTGACTCCATGCTGCTAGCTATGAAGATGTTAGCTAGCTAATGTTTGCTAAACACGCTGAAACCTTTCGATAGCTTGTTTGTTGGAAATTGTCAAAAAAATATTTCAATGGCTTGATTAATTACAAAATTATTCAAAATTGCTACACTGTATAGCTATATTTTTTTGTTGTTGAAACTGCAGCCTAAATTTATAAACTTTGTGAGAAAACCCTAAAATTGTTCCTCAGCTAGAAATTCTACAAGCTCTCATGCCACCATCTTGAGCGCCCCCGCCCCCCAATGAGGGAAAAAGTCAGTGCTCGTATTCGCTAAAAGTTTGTATTAAAAGTATGAATATCAGCACCCCGCAGAAGGATCGCAGTTGTACAGGAACAGGTAAGCGTTTTCAGAATTGACATTTTTACAAGAATTTACTGATGGTGACTCAATGCTGTTGCTAGCAAATCCCCTGACCAGTTATCAAAACTCAACTCTGCCTCGATATTAGAGAACGGAGTTGAGTGTTCCTCAGCTAGCATGTGGGCAAACTCACCGTAGGGGCTGGCTTTCCTCCCATGACGATGCAGACTAGAGTGAAGTTCTGGGCCTCGTAGCGACTGAAGGGGGCCGGGCAGTCTGCTGCCGCTACAGAGATGGACTTAGGAGGCACTAGGGAGGAAAAGAGCAGAGCCTGGGACTAAAACGAGAAAACCATCCACATATAGGAAAAGTTTGTCTAGTATTTTCATTATTTTTCCCCAAGTATTTTCCAAAGGGCTACATAAAAAACTAAACTAAAACATGAAACAGACATGTTTTTCATGTCTGTAGTTGATGGCAGAAAGTAGTCTTCTGTGCATTTCCCACATCTCAACAGTAGGGGGAGGCAGGTGATAAAAATGCTGATAGTTGTGGTAATGAAAACTGTTAAAACACTAAATAATCATGGATGCTGGACAAAGGCTACAAAACCTGCCACTCACAAAATCCTATCCAGTACCACATGATCATATCTATATAACATTAATTTTCTTAAATTTTACCCATGACAGTGAGCACGATGGTGCCTGAGGCTAAGACCACCCTGTCTCTAGAGGCCTTGTCGTAGATCCCCACATGGCACTCATATGGCCCGTCATCTTCCATCTGTACCTCAGGGAGCCTGGCAACACAAATACAAAACTAGTGAAGATAATACAAGATATGAGTTGTAAAGAGCTTTTCCGTGTACTCAAAGCATTTCTAAGAAAATAAAAAATTGGTAAGATAAGCCTAAGCTTGCAAGTGAAAACACTGACCAATGCTCTCTTTCTTGAGGCTGCAGACTACAGGTCAAGCTTACCGGACAGTTGATTGGTAGACCAGGTCTTCTCGTCTGCGGAAGTCCTCCATATGGGAGAAGTTGCTGTTGTACATGGCATCGTAGGTGAAGATCTTCTGCTTGGCACTGCCACCCTCTGTCACCTAGAAAGTTCAAGAATACATCACATTACACATCCTGGGCATGTGTCCATATAAAACAAGCTTTCTACACAAAACACTATCAATGAACAGTTATTATCTTCCAATTCATGAAGCCTAGAGAGCTTTGAAGCCTCTTCTTTTGCCCCTTTTATCAGTTTAGTTAGTTTCACAAGGAGCTTATAATAATATAATTATTATAATTATTATTTAAAAAACCTTATCAAACCTAGTAGCTCTTCAGAAGTCAGATAGCTTGTTATGTACTGTACCTAATGCTCTGTCTCTTCTGAACAAAGCTTTGATGGATGTGTCAGCGTTTTAATTGAAGTGTCAATTGAAAACAGTAGATAACAATGCCGGCCTAGTCAAAAGCTTCTCATAGAAGTAAACACAAGATATGTGCTGTTGCAAACAACCAAACGGTTCATACAGGGATATCAAGGCAACCCTACTCACCCGAAACCACACAATCTCTCGCAGGTTGCCATCTGTCCTGAAATTGCACTTGAGTGTCACTGTGTCTCCAATGACAATGGGAGGGAGGGACTCAAGAGTGACAGTTAAATAGCCTGTGGTTCAAAGAAATAAGTAAAATATCTGTTACACACATTTCCACACACATCTCTCTCCACAATGTATAGTCAACTCCCTTCCATGAAACCCATAGCATAGACCAGCGCAAAACATGCTATAGGCATGCATTAGATGTAAAGTTGTTCTATTCTATTCTATGATTCCTAATGGCCATCAAAGATTGTTACTATACTTCCCAAATGACCATACCTCCCTCTCTCTGGAGCATTGGGAATCAAACCTTACGGGCTAGCTGTAATGGATTATTAATAGTGCATTATCAAGGCTATGTGGCCAAAGCGTCATCTATTTTGTCTCATGCAGGCAATTACAGCTTGGGATAGCAATATAATGTGCACACTTTTTCCCCCTTTTCTTTAATGATTCATTATTGGCTTGTTCATTAATTAATTGTGGTGCTGATTGTGCACACATTTTCAGAAATGTGTCTTCACATGGTATTAAAATGTGTCTCTTAACTGTCTAATAACTGTGTCCGCATTGTGACCAGATTCCATGGTCCCTCCCTGTATGCAAATGATTTCACAGCTATTCTTTCTAAATATATATATTTTTAAGACATATTGGCATAAGTCAATGTTGACACCTGATAATGATGATTTAAATGGTTTCACTGTCCAGATCTGTCTACACTTGTAAGATATCCAGACACAATGCGTGCCTGACTACCTCCGGAGGTGGTCAGGAAGATCTGATCACAATCAGATCATAATGTGTCTTTTAATCGTCTACACCTGTCTAAAAATGTGGCCACAATCAGAATGTGGACAAGATCAGGACAAAGGACGCATGTTAGAACCAGTGGCACCACTAGTGCATGTTGCTGGTACTCTATTTCTCCCATTGGCGTGGTCTTATTGTGTGCTAAGTGCTGTGGCTCAGTCAGGTTAAAAAGGTCAGAATGGTGAATTAAAAGCCAACCTGTCTCCTAAACAAGTCAAGAGAGGATATAGTGCTTAGAAGCACTAATCTCTATCTCTACCCTGCACAGGCATCTGAGGCCACAGAAACCTAGTAGCGACCTCATTCTCTCTGAGAATTAATACACTGTAATGATATGTTTTCATTTGCACTTTCATAAGCGCAGAAATAATCTCAACTAGCTTTACATTAAGTAAATATTGTGAGTGTTGTAGGCTGCGTTTAGACAGGCAGCACAATTCTGATCTTTTCTTCACTAATTGGTCTTTTGACCAATCAGATCATCTCTGAAAAAGATCTGATGTGAAAAGATCTGATGTGATTGGTTAAAAGACCAAATAGGCTGTTTTTATACAGGGAGCCCAATTCTGATTTCTCCCACTAATTGGTCCTTTCACATCAGATATTTTTCAGAGCTGATCTGATTGGTCAAAAGACTAATTAGTGAAAAAATTATCAGAATTGGACTGCCTGTATAAATGCAGCCACAGTGTTATATAATAATGCAAGTGTAGCATTCCAGCTCCTCCCTCCCACCTTGGCCTCTACACCCTGACATCATGGTGGATTATTTTTCACCATGTTTTTCCCGCTAATCCCCCAGCTTTTCATCTACAGACCCAGCCATTCGGCACATCGCTCTGCGTCCTGCTCCAGATACTACATGAATGGGAGGAGAGAGCTGGAGGGGCTTGTGCTACATACGTACATTAAAAACATTAAAAAATATACAGCAGCTCTTTGGAGCAAAGAGAGCTGACACTCAACTCTGTAAGCGGGAGTCCTGTAGGTGAAGGCAAAAAGACTTGACTCAGGTGTTTTTATGATGTCAGTTGACATTTCTTAAAGGGGACATTCCACTAAGAATCTACAATCCAAATCAGGGTTGTGTTCAATATATTATAGAATAACAAGGGTTTCTTATAGGACAAAGTAGTCCGGCTCTGTTTCAGTCCGTTTCTTCTGTTTGGTGACTATTAAACCTAACCTAGCTATTGAGGCTGTCAGCAACATCCTCCTCATCAGTTACTGCTGGTGAGGTTAGGCCTTAACTGCATCACCATTGTCTTCTGCAGTGCACAAAAGACAGCCATAGTCCCTAGTCACCCAACTAGAGCCCAGACTCCGTATATAACCACCAGGAAATAGACATTCTCCTGCAACAGACTTAATGATGAATGGTTTAAGTACAGTAGTCTGTTGAAGATCCACTGCAAATACCCAGGGTTCACTTCATCTCATGTTAGTGCTGCGCTACGTTGACCAACAAGCTCCTCGGGTCCCATATTCTGAACAGGCACCATGACGGACAGCTGTCATCTGCTGTATCTAACAGAGGACATTTTGGGCTTCTATACAGTACACCCATACCTAGTCCAATGTTTTCTGATTATACGGTGATCAGAGAATTAGAGCCTGGCGCTGTTGTGACTCTTGATTCTTCTGAAAATGGGCTCACTCAAGGCATAATGTAGTTGATCCCTACGAGCATTAACTCAGCTACGGCAAATGGGATGGGGGGGGTGAATAAAGCACAGACAGAACGGCAGCAAGGAGATGACTATCTCTCTCTTTCTCTCTCCCACTCACAGACCAAGTTGATCTCACGAGCCGCTGGAGGTGGAGTGCCATTCGTCTGGCAAGCAAGACTAAAGACCCAGACAGACAAACACACACACACTCAAACTCATGTTACTAATATTAGATGCTTGAAATAATGCATATCCTCAGTGTTTTTGTTGCTGGCATTGTGTCAGGGCCTAGGCCTTGGGGCAGTGGCATTTAATCATTTTAGAGTACAGATTACCTGTAAAATGGGTCAGCCAAACAAACAGCCTTTATCCCTCAGATAATCAATCAAAAAACTGGATTGAGTAACTAGGATTGTGACATCATAGCCTCACTGGCATCAGGCAACTTTTGTTTACATCAAACATTAATATGAGCACTCAATGTACAGACACTGAAGCAAATCTCCTCACGGACAAAGATCTTCAACTAATCCTTTTAGATGGCTATCAATGACTTGACACTGTTTGCAGTCAATCTAGGCTACTGTGTAATGAGTTTCAAACTTGCAAGCAAAGAACCGCTGCAGCCTATAATCATTGGAAAGTTCATTCTGCAGGGTTTAGAGCTATAGCCTATCACAGAAGTATGTATGTAGATAATATATACATATATACACTTTGCACACTCTTCTATTTGAAGAATCTCATATATATAATATATTTTGATTTGTTTAACACTTTTTGGTTACTACATGATTCCATATGTGTTATTTCATAGTTTTGATGTCTTCACTATTATTCTACAATGTAGAAAATAGTAAAAATAAAGAAAAAGCCTTAAATGAGTAGGTGTTCTAAAACTTTTGACCGGTAGTGCACATACATACTTCTGTGATACGCTATAGCTCTAAACCCTGCAGAATGAATTTTCCAATGATTATAGGCTGCAACGGTTCTTTGCTTGCATATATATATATATATATATATATATACTGAACAAAAATATAAAAGCAACATTCAACAATTTCAAAGATTTCAAATGAGTGGGCAAGGTTGCAGCCATGGGTGGGCCTTGGCGGGCTTTGGCGCCCCCCCCCCCCCCCCCCCCCCTCAGATCCCGCAGGTGAAGAAGCTGGATGTGGAGGTCCTGAGCTGGCGTGGTTACACATGGTCTGCGGTTGTGAGGCTGGTTGAACGTAATGCCAAATTCTCTAAAACGACGTTAGAGGCAGCTTATGGTACAGAAATTTACATTACATTATCTGGAAACAGCTCTGGTGGACATTCCTGCAGTCAGCATGCCAATTGCAAGCTCCCTCAAAACTTGAGACATCTGTGACATTGTATTGTGTGACAAAACTGCACATTTTAAAGTGCCCTTTTATTGTCCCCAGCATAAGCAGCACCTGTGTAATGATCATGCTGTTTAATCAGCTTCTTGATATGCCACACCTGTCAGGTGGATGGATTATCTTGGCAAAGGACAAATGCTCACTAACAGGGATGTAAACAAATTTGGGCACAACATTTGAGAGAAATAAGCTTTTTTTGAGTGTATGGAAACATTTCTGGGATTTTTTATTTCAGCTCATGAAACATGGGACCAACACTTTACATGTTGCGTTTATATTTTTGTTCAGTGTATATATGTGTATCTATATATGTATGTGTGTGTATATATATTTATGTGAAATAGTCTACTGCATTGAGCTTTAGAAATAAAATAAAAACGTTTTAGCTAATAAGAACAAAATGCTCCTTATAGTATAAAAAACTGAGACTTACCAACTGCTAAATCCAAAATATATAAGACGAGACACTGAGAAAAAGCACAACTCATCTTCCCTGTTAGTGTGTGTGGTCAAGTTTACATTCCATCTACTTTTAGTCGACAAATCGCCGATAATGTGCCATCCACCGTGTCTGTGGCACCGGGTCGGAAGCCCTTTCGGAACGCTTCATTCTGCACCGGAACGCAGACCTTGTTTTCTGTTTCTGTCAAGCGAGCAGTGAGAAAAATATGTCCATTTCCCGTTATTAACTCCTGAATAGTGAGAGGATTAAAAAAAGCAACAGATTTGAATGAAGTCTCTCTGCTCTCTCAACACACGCTTACGCGCGCGCACACAAGCACCGATAGGCGCGCCAAATCCTATCAGGCGACAGACAGTTGCCTCATGTTAGTGCAATGAAATATAGCCAAAATAGCTCATTATTCGTTTAGATTATTTATTTGCATGCAATTAAATAAAACGTAGGCTACAGTATAAAATAGGGACAGAGGATGAGAAAACTCCCCAGCATGTAGCCCCATGTCCCCCTCTGTGTCCAAGATAACAGTCTATTAGCTTATACCTCAACTGCCTCCCCAAAATCATTCACTGAGTTTGCAAAAATCACAAATTAGCAAAAATGAAGAGCTTGAAGACCATGATATATTTATTCCAATAACAAGGTGACATACTGTAAAACGCACTGTCCAAATAAGTACCTTCAAATAAGTTCCTTCAATAAACACTGACAGTGTGTTTATTGACATGGAAACCAGGACATTTAAAAAAATTCAAACAGAATAAAAGAACAGGACATTATTACACAGTGTATATTGATCATCAAGTTGATTTATGAGAAATTGTTTATGTAGAATTCCCTTTTTCCCAAAAGTGGGATCCATATCAGTGGTGTACTGTACCTATACTTTACATTAAGTTCACAGGTAACACTTTACATTAAGGTACCCTGTCGCCCTTTCCTGCAGTCAATGACCAAAAGCGCCCTCTTTGGCCTCATGGGTGGAATTGTATTAATATTTTTCATAATTAATATAGATTTTATTTATTTTTAACTTGAAAATCCGATGTTTCTACGTCAAACAGTTTTGTTATATTTCAGTCTTCTGCGATGTATATAAAGTGTAATAATGGGATGCAAATTCAAAATGTAATACATTTCAACTCTATATCTGACAAGGTGCAGGAGGTGTCTTCTTTTTTAAGCCCATAACCATGTGTGTGAGGTGTATACTTTTTTTTCATAGTAGATTTGTTAAGAATCACTATGTGTGACCCTGATTTAGCCTACTGCAGTAATTAAGGGGGTTGTAAAGGGTTTATAAGTCATTTATACACATGCCCCCATACACCCTGCATATAAAAAACCACTAGCTGTCATGTTCTGTGTTAGCAAAACACATGATACACTGGCAATATGAGTAAATTAGAGTGACAACAAGCAAATCCAATCTTATGTTCATAGCTGTCACTTTTCAATCACTTGTCAATTATCCTTTTTTTAAGCACATGCAAAAGATATGTAAAGTCATATTGGGTGAGCCTCCTCAAATCACATTTGACAACACCCCCTGGTATAGATCTGCCAGACTAAAGCAGCATCTGGTTGGAAGAGTGCGTGTTAAGAGTTTAGAGTTCCCTCAGATGGGACTACGACGTGGCCCCAGGGCCTGAAACATGTCAGTTTGAAGCAGCAGCACACCACTAGACTCCATCCAGAGATCCAACCACCAAGGTAGTAGAGGAATGTACCATAGTATATAGCCCTTCCTGAAACAGTCTAGTCTACCATCCTGAAATATATTGCTTAATAGTGTCTCTTTTTCCTAGAGCACGCAATACATCAGGTGAGAGGGAGGAGCCAGAGGAGCCACCGACCAATCAGCCTGGGAGTTGCCAAACCATGAGCGTACTTTCATCTGGCTCCCTATTGGCTGCTGTAGTCCCCTCCCCAAGCCTACGGAACCCCCAAAAGACTGCAGCCAAGGTCACCTTGCCTTTCCCGTGCCCCTCACTGGCTGGGGACTGCCCCCGCATCCACATGTCAGGGTCCTCGCTCAGCTCGTAGATGGAGCCGTCCTCTGGGCTGTGATCCGGGGTTTCTGGTGGGGCGTCACAGGGGCTCTGACCAGGTTCGGCCGTCAGCTGCTTGCCGGACAGCTGGAGGCGATACTGGAGCAGCACTCCTTTGGCCTTGGTGGGCTCTCACTGGGGGGAGGAGCAGTCCGGTTGCGAGAGTGACTCCTGGGACGATTCAATCCTCAGCTCCCCACCCTCTCCTTCTCCTCCTCCCGCTCCCCCATTGGCCTGGTCGGCAGTGTCGAAGAGCATGTCTGGGGACAGGGTGCTGGAGGTGGCCACGAGGAAATCCACAAGGCCACAGTGAGTGTTTACAGACGTCATCCCTTTACCTGTGGGACAAACAGCACACAAGGCCTCAGTTAGAAAACACAGCCTGATTGGTTGATTGGTGGGTTGGTTGGTTGATTGGTTTTATTTGAAAATTATAATTCAAAATACAGCCAGTCACACCAACGCAACGGGAGTAACTTGATGCCACCAGATGCCAGGTTTAATGTGCAAACGTTGGTTGTGTCTTTGCCAAGCCTGACCTGTTATTTTGGGGATGCCCTCCTGTTTGGGCATGGGCAGGGTGATGATGATACCCTGGGTGGTGCCCACCCACAGCAGCCCCTGACTGATGAGTAGACTGGTGACCCAGACGCTGCCCTGCTGACCTGGAAGAGAGACACAAGCACCTCTCTGTCACTTCCTTCTGTTCATGTCAACGTTGCAGCTTCCCACGTCCACATCCAACCTTAGCCTCGATGAATACACATGATCAATAGGGGTAAAAATCCACTTAGCCTTACATAGGGCAATGTGGACCTATTACCAGATTGCTCATACCTGTATCCAATTATTTTAGACCTACACAAGTGTCTAGGGGGTGGACTTGAAAAATGTAAGTGAAAAAAGTAGTCGGTGACCTGTGACCTTCTACACTGTACTTGCCTGGGCTGAGGAAGGTGGAGCGTGTTGAGATGTTGATCTCGTGCAGGTGCTTCAGTATCTCCGTGTGGAACAGATGGATGTATGAGCCCTCGGATAAGGCCATCCAAACCCCTCCCCCCGCCAGCACCATGTGACTCACACTGACCCCGGGCTCCAGGTCTCTCTTCTTTTCCTCTCTCCCTCTTTCATTCAGCCCTGTGTAAATGAGGGTGTATAGAAGGATGTGTTTTGCCCACCTGGGTGTGGAGGCTGGAGCCCTGGATGACGGTGACGAAGTTGGCACAGCTGGCTCACACAGTGTTCTCCAGGATTAGGAGGGTGCGGATGGGGCCACTGCCCACAGTCACATCCGCTTTAGGGATCGTTAAATCGGTGGCCAATGATGGTTGCAATTGAGATCACCTGTGCAGGTGAGTTTAGCGCGTATTTATGGTTTAACGAGAGATTACCTTGTGTTAGTATGCTGGCCAATGCTCATTGCAATAGGCCCATCATGTTCATTTTAATTATTGTAATAGATTACCTTGATTATACGAGAAAATTGCAGGATATGACTGTATGATTATACAGTTGGTTCGCAGTTTCACATCCACTCTTCCGAGCGTAAACGGCAACTTTTCTGTTCCTCAGCCCAGTGAACAGGAAAGTTTGTTTCAGGCACAGAACTGGACAACTGTCTGGGTGGGAGAAGGTCAGAAGGCACTGGGTGGCAGTTTCCACGCTACTGTACACACGGATGCTGGGAAATGGAGTTAATGAGAAATGTTAGGTATATGACAATGACAATAACATGAGACAACCTGAATTCAACCTGAATTGTGTGTGGGGCTGCTACGTTCCGGTTTCTACTACCATTGCTATGGACAATACATGTCACAATGAACTGAATACTTAATGTTAAGTCTGGCACTTTTTTTCTGATTTGTTGGTTCCTTGATGGAGAATAGGGGATAAACAAATCCATACGTTGCAGGATAAAAAATTCAGCAATGTTTGTTTGTACTACAGTGTACATGATGACTCACTTGCCATCCTGCAGGCCTACACAGATGGTGTTGCCAGTGCTGGCTGTGTTCTTTGCAGCAGCGTCCCCATCCTCTTCCTCTTCGGTGGGACAGGGCTCCATCATGTGGTCCAGAAACAGGACTGGCGCCCCCAGCTGGATGGGCTTGACCATGTGCTGCGTGGAGCGGTTCAGAGAGAAGATTTCCACTGGACCATGGTTGCGGTCACCTCCACTGGCCACCTGGTCATTACAGAGAGAGGATGTTAATGGGGCCGACCAGCTATTGATCACAGGTCTTATGTGTGACACTAGACCGCATCAGCCCTCTGAGCTACAGAGCTAAAGCCAAGACCTAGGTTACTCATCACATGAACCAACATAGTTCATTGGACCACCTTCATTACACTTCCTACCCCTTCCCTAACCTAACCTCCTCCTCTCCGCAGCTCAGTTCAGGCCTGGAATCTATTTAGAGTTTGCGGTGCTTACCCAGAGATAGCCCTTCGGTAGAGATGTACTGGCTGCAGAGAAGCTCAGCGGGGCACAACGGACCGGGTTGTAAAGTGCCGTGTCCAGCTGCAGACAACACAACAAATGCTCAGTTAAACCCACAGACCTACTGTAATCACTACAGTTATAGCAAAGAGGATTGGAAACGCGTAGTAAGTGTCTTTGGTTATATGGATATAGGCGGTATTCTGCATTATAGGCAATATATTGCATATTACAGCTACATTTTCCATTTTTATTTTGTTGGTTACCAGAATGTTCCTTTGCCTCAATACGGATGTTGAATAATGACCTGAGGAAATGGATTTCCTTTGACATTATTAGAACGTCTCTGCAACATCCCGCTTTACTTAATGTTCAGAGTCAGAGGACACAGAGTATGTGAGAGTGTTTTGAGTATGCATCTAATGCTCTACTCAATCCAAAATGGTTACCAATTCCAAATTCCAGGACAAGTAAAAAAAGAATACTCATCTCACACAGGAATGGTGCTTTCAAGACAACTGGGAACTATAAAAAAAAACGAGGTAATATAATGACGTCAGTGATCTTCAGGTCGGAAAGTCAGAACTCTAGAAAGAGCTCTAGAAAGAATCCAGAGTTTCTGACATGGAATTCTGAGTTGGAGGTACGTTCAAAAAAACAAATCCCAGTCAGAGCTGTTTTTTTGTGAGTTCCCAGTTGTCCTGAACGCACTGAAGTTGAAAGTCGATTTCAGAGTTCCCAGTACCGAGTTCCAAGTTGTTTTGAACATGGCAGAATAAAGCTTGTTTGACTCAATACGCAGCGAAATGTCTTGTCACAGTGTGTAGTTTCCAGTGATTTTCCTGTGTTTTATATAAATCAAATCACATTTTATTTGTCACATACACGTGTTTAGCAGATGTTATTGCGGGTGTAGCGAAATGCTTCTGCTTCTAGTTCCGACAGTGCAGTAATATCTAACAAGTAATATCTAACAATTTCACAACATATACCCAATACACACAAATCTAGTAAGGAATGGAATTTAAGAATATATACATATATGGACAAGCAATGACAGAGCGGCATGGACTAAGATACAGTAGAATATTATAGAATAGAATACAGTATATACATATGAGATGTGTAGTGCAAGATATGTAAACATTATTAAAGTGACTAGTGTTCCCTTTCTTAAAGTGGCCAGTGATTTCAATAGGCAGCAGCAGCCTCTAATGTGCTAGTGATGGCTATTTAACAGTCTGATGGCCTTGAGATAGAAGCTGTTTTTAATTTTCTTGGTCCCAGCTTTGATGCACCTGTACTGACCTCGCCTTTTGGATGATAGCGGGGTGAATAGGCAGTGGCTCGGGTGGTTGATGTCCTTGATGATCTACACTACCGTTCAAAAGTTTGGGGTCACTTAGAAATGTCCTTGTTTTCGAAAGAAAAGCAATTTTTTTGTCCATTAAAATAACATCAAATTGATCAGAAATACAGTGTAGACATTGTTAATGTTGTAAATGGCTATTGTAGCTGGAAACGGCAGATTTTTATTGGAATATCTACATAGGCGTACAGAGGCCCATTATCAGCAACCATCAGTCCTGTGTTCCTATGGCACGTTGTGTTTGCTAATCCAAGTTTATCATTTTAAAAGGCTAATTGATCATTAGAAAACCCTTTTGCAATTATGTTAGCACAGCTGAAAACTGTTGTGCTGTTTAAAGAAACAATAAAAGGAGGCGGATCCGGCTCCGGGCGTGACCACCACCCTCTAATAACCCCCCCGTAGTGTCCCTGGTCTGGTCTGGCCCCGCTGGCTGGAGCTGGACTGGACATCGGTGGAGCGGATTGCTTAGGCTCCGGTGTGGAGCAGCTGACCGGTACCTGACCAGGCACCGGTGAAACGGGCACGGGCTGTGCCGGACTGACGACGCGCACCACAGGCTTGGTGCGGGGAGCAGGAATGGGCCGGACCGGGCTGACGACGCGCACCCCTGGCTTGGTGCGGGGAGCAGGAATGGGCCGGACCGGGCTGGCGATGCGCACCACAGGCTTGGTGCGGGGAGCAGGAATGGGCCGGACCGGGCTGACGACGCGCACCCCTGGCTTGGTGCGGGGAGCAGGAACGGGCCGGACCGGGCTGACGATGCGCACCACAGGCTTGAGGCGGGGAGCAGGAACGGGCCGGGCCGGGCTGACGAAGTGCACCACTGGCTTGGTGCGGGAGAGTAGGAACGGGCCGGGCCGGGCTGACGACGCGCACCACTGGCTTGGTGCGGGGAGCAGGAAGGCCGGACCGGGCTGGCGACGCGCACCATAGGCTTGGTGCGGGGGGCAGGAACAGGCCGGACCGGGCTGGCGACGCGCACCATAGGCTTGGTGCGAGGGGCAGGAACAGGCTGGGCCGGGCAGGCAACGCGCACCATTGGCTTGGTGCGGGGAGCAGGAACAGGCCGGGCCGGGCTGGCGACGCGCACCATTGGCTTGGTGCGAGGGGCAGGAACAGGCCGGACCGGGCTGTGGAGACGGACTGGAGGTCTGGAGCGAAGAGCTGACACAACCCGTCCTGGCTGAATGCCTATCTTAACACACTGTGTGAGGCATCAGCACAGGACGTACAGGGCTGTGTACACGTACTGGCACAACAGCACGTGACACTGGCGCAGGATATCCGGGACCGAGGAGGGGCACTGGAGGCCACGAGCGTTGAGCCGGCACACTCCGTCCTGGCTGCATGCCCACCTTAGCACGACACGTGCGTAGTGCTCGCACAGGACGTACCAGACTGTGCCCGACCACTCGCGGCACAGTACGCAGCTCCGCATATCTCGGAACCTGCCCACTCTCACGCTGCCTAGCCTGAGTACGGGGAGTTGGCTCTGCTCTACCTCTAGGCTCCGCCAACCTCCCTTCCGGCCCCCCAAACCCGGTGGCCTCCTCTCCTAATCCCCAAACTCGCCCTGTAGCTGCCTCCAGCAGCCCCGTCGTCCATGCCGTGTGCCCCCCCCTAAACATTTCTTGGGGTTGCCTCTTGCGTGTCCGACGTCGGCCCGGTTGGCGCCGCTGCTCCTCTCTACGGCGCGCCTCCACCGTCTCCTCCCACGGACGGCGATCCATACCGGCCTGGATCTCCTCCCAAGTCCAGGACCCTTTCCCGTACAATATCTCCTCCCAAGTCCAGGCTGTCTGCTCCTGGACACGCTGCTTGGTCCTGTTATGGTGGGATCTTCTGTCACGATCGTCAAAAGGAGCGGACCAAGGCGCAGCGTGGAATGCGAACATACTTTATTTATATTCACCACACGAACAAAAACAACAAAACGATACGTGAAATCCACGGTCAAATACACAAACCAACACGGAACAAGATCCCACAAACACAACTGCCCAAACGGCTGCCTAAGTATCGTTCCCAATCAGAGACAACAAGCAACAGCTGATTCACGTTGCCTCTGATTGAGAACCACCCCGGCCAACATAGAAACACATTAACTAGAAACTGAAACATATAACACAAAACATAGACTCTACACACACTGGCTCAACATAAAAGAGTCCCTAGAGCCAGGGCGTGACAACTAGTTGAGTATCTGTAGCATCAGCAATTGTGTGTTCGATTACAGGCTCAAAATGGCAGGAAACAAAGAACTTTCTTCTGAAACTCGTCAGTCTATTCTTGTTCTGAGAAATGAAGGCTATTCCATGCGAGAAATTGCCAAGAAACTGAAGATCTCGTACAACGCTGTGTACTACTCCCTTCACAGAACAGCGCAAACTGGCTCTAACCAGAATAGAAAGAGGAGTGGGAGGTCCCGGTGCACAACTGAGCAAGAGGACAAATACATTAGAGTGTCTAGTTTGAGAAACTGACGCCTCACAGGTCCTCAACTGGCAGCTTCATTAAATAGTACCCGCAAAACACCAGTCTCAACGTCAACAGTGAAGAGGCGATTCCGGGATGCTGACCTTCTAGGCAGAGTTACAAAGAAAAAGCCATATCTCATAGTGGCCAATAAAAAGAAAAGATTAAGATGTGCAGTCTGAGATATTACTTTTTCTTTGCAACTCTGCCTAGAAGGTCAGCATCCCGGAGTCGCCTCTTCACTGTTGACGTTGGGCCATCAGTCTTTCAATCTCAAAATAATGGTGAAAACTTGATGTTGAGGTTAACCTTCTACTGCAGTGGGCTAAATCAGGGTCACACAGAGTGTTTCTTGGTAGTCTTGAACAAATCTACTTTGAAACAAAACTATACACCTCACACACATGGTTATGGGCTTTAAAAAAATAAGACACCTTTACCATGTCAGATATAGAGTTGAAATGAATTAAATGTTGAGTTTGCATCCCAATATTACACTTTATATTCATCACAGAAGACTGAAATATAACAGAACTGTTTGACATAGAAACACCCGATTTTCGGAGTAAAAAATTAATAAATGTTAATCATGAAAAATATTAATAACATTCCACCCATGAGGCCAGTAGGTCATTTGACTGCAGGAAAGGACTACGTAGGTTAAAGTCTTCCGAGAAGTCACAGAGATTGCACAAAGGGACATGTCAAAATGTAGAATTTTGGCAGATTTATTTAATTTTCCATTTGGCCTATATTAAAGGGCACTTCATTTAATATAACAGGCTTTTAAAAAATCCTATATTGCTGCACAATTTCTATCAAAGGGTTGCAAAAGGGACTCATTTCGTGGGACAACCCTACACTCTGTGTAGTAGATTGTTTTGTTGAATACTTGAATCGAAACATGCATTTATATTTGCAGATAAAGACTAATGAGGAACAGGGATAACAAAACAGACATAGTGAGGTTGAGCTGCAGTATGATTACACACACTCACACACTCTCTGGATATCAGTCAGAATGAAGCCATACAACACATTTTGTCACACTACTAAGCTACATATGGATGCAAATTGGAACATTGTGTAGGTCTAGATCAAACACAGGGCCCAGTCCATCATCTCCTGCAGTGGTGCACAGTCTCAAGGTAACTGGCCTCTGCCACTGCTGCTGCATTTCCATACAAATGGTGTAAATGTATATTTTCCTTTGAGTTTTAAAATGCCATCCATCACACACAATCTCTCCTTTCAGAGATGGAGGCATCTGAATTTCAAATAGTTTAGATGAAGGGAATAGTGGTGCACAGTATGTAGGAGGTCGGAGGAGAGGAGGGAGAGGAGGGAGTAGGGATCGCCTTCCAGAAAAGAACACTGAGTTGCGTCCAAAATGGCATCTTATTCCCAATATAGTGCATTTCATTTGACCAGAGCCCGCTTAGGGCTCGGATCAAAAGTAGTACACTATAAGGGAATATGGTGACATTTTGGATGCAAGCTGGTATGTGATTTACTGTTTACTTGTAATGTATGCAGGAATATTTGTGGGACATGGGCCATGAGTCTTTCAATCTCAATTTGGAAAGATTACTTTGAATACCATCCAGCATTTGCCTCGCTTTATGGATTATCTTCAGGACTCAATGGCCTCAGCCGAGTCAACAGAAATAAGGTGCTTACCCTTTGATCTCTCCTCTATCCCAAGACACAGAGACTGTGAAAGAGGGCAAGCTGAAAGAGAGTGTGTTGAAACGGTATCGGAAGTGTGTATGTTGAAAGGGGGGGAACACAGATTATCACTAGATCTGACAGATGACATGACTCCAGATTGAAACAAGCCATGTCATTCATTTTGTGGGTCTTCCGGTGATTTCACTTTGCTCAAAGAATGAGAGAGAATAACGTTAGTATCCCATCTCCTCTACAGGACGCATGGACGCATGAGGGCAGACACACACACAAACACACAGGCTTACTTTCGCTTTACAGAAGGTTTCCTTTCATCTTAACTGCATTATTCTATTATAATGAGTTTGTTTTTGCACATTCACGGAGCAGTGCATATTTGATATCCTCTTCAACATCCTTTGTTTCTTTAGCCCTGCAAGGCAAACTAAGGTTGTGTGTTAACATGGCATAATAACAGTGTAGTACAGGAAGAGCACATTATACCTTTCATCTCAACATACCTGCCTTTTACTCAGTAATGCTGAGGTTATAGTGCTGTTTTTTTTGCGCCGGGGAATATGAGTAGGTAAGACCAAGGTTGCATATCATCATACCAATGATAATATAGATTAACTCAACTCAACAGTGTTGAATTACAATCAACCCACTGGGCAAAAACAGGTTGAAACATTGTTGTTTCCAACATGGAAAACTGATTGGATTTTTTAAAAGTCCTCAATGTAAGGGAATTTCGTATTTTTTTTTCACCCAACTTTGAACCTAAATCCAAAATTCATGTTAGTTGACAACTCAACCAAATGTAAACCAAAATAGATGTTGAAATGGAGTCTGTGTGTAAAAAAAAAATCCACAATTTGTTACGTTAGAGACTTATTCTAAAATTGATTAGATTAATAAAAATCCTCATCAGGAAGTAATGATGGACTCATTTCTCTTTGCTTATTTGAGCATGTTCTTGTCATAATATGGACTTGGTCTTTTACCAAATAGGGCTATCTTCTGTATACCACCCCTACCTTGTTACAACACAACTGATTGGCTCAAACACATTAAGAAGGAAAGAAATTCCACAAATGCATTCCAGGTGACTACCTCATGATGCTGGTTGAGAGAATGCCAAGAGTGTGGAAAGCTGTCATCAAGGCAAAGGGTGGCTACTTTGAAGGATCTAAAATATTAAATATATTTTGATTTGTTTAACACTTTTTTTGTTACTACATGATTCCATATGTGTTATTTCATAGTTTTGATGTTTTCACTATTATTCTACAATGTAGAAAATAGTAAAAAAATTAAGAAACACCCTTGAATGAGTAGATATGTCCAAACTTTTGACTGGTACTGCATATTTTCAGACCCCTTGACTTTTCCACATTTTGTTACATTACAGCCTTATTCTAATACATATTGTAATTACAGTCCTTCTGATCAGTTGAATTTCTCTCCAAACAGCGGACCCCCTACTGATTTTTGGGGCACATTACTATTCATATATTCCCCCATAATCCTGCATGGGAAGCATTGTGAAGCATTGCGAACCCTTTCACACGTTAAGGGCAAAGTTGGCATGAGGCATGAGCTGAATCAAGTAGGGTGCAATGAATAATTTGTGAGGTTCACTGATCAAAGTTTTTAAGATGTGAAGTTAGGTCAAACTTGGGGAAACTTTACCTTTCTTCTTTAATGACATTATCAATGCTGTTACTCTCAAATCTTTAGTAGTCGTGTTGGAGAGGATGGAGAAAAAGAGCGTTGGTCCACATTAATATACAGTGTGGCTGACATTCATTCAACATGACATTTGACAGTATGCCTCATCCATAGAGAATCTATTTCTATGGTCGCATCCTGGTAGTGCTGACTCACTTGACACTGATGTTTGCACAGATGAGGGTGTCATTACGGAGGAAGACTTTGCGCTCCTTGGACTTGAGGACCTGTCCTTTCTCCCCGTACACCATCTCAATCAACACCTCGCACAGTATCAGCTGCCTCTAGTCTGAGTTCAAGAGCTGAAGAGGGGACACAAATATCACACAACATCACACACTATCTACACACACTACACACAACTCAACAAAACACAAAACACTCACTCACTTTTACACAAAGTAGAATTAACAAAAAAATGAACTTTTCTTATTGACCTTAAAATATATTGTCATTTCGAGAAAGCCCTTGCTCAGTTGGCGGTCACCAACGCTGCGTGCCAACTGCTGGATTTCAGCGACCTGGTCTGCGACTCGTTTCTGCTCTCTCGGCTAAAGTCTCCAGCTCGGTGAAGGTCAACTGCAGGGGAAGACGGTCAGGGTGGGCCCGGGGAGTGTTCTTCAGCATGTCCTGGATGTCCTGGGGGGGTAGGGGGAGAGGAGGAGAGAGAGACAGGAATAAAAGAGTAAGTGTGAGAGAGAGAGTAAGTGTGTGAGAGAGAGAGAGAGAGAGTAAGTGTGTGAGAGAGAGAGAGAGAGAAGTGTGTGTGTGAGAGAGAGAGAGAGAGAGAGAGAGAGAGAGAGAGAGAGAGAGAGAGAGAGGAGAGAGAGAGAGAGAGAGAGAGAGAGAGAGAGAGAGAGGGGAACATTAAACCTGTTATTAACACAAAGGATTCCCCCAGACATGCTTAACAGAGCAAGCTACTGTATACTATGGCCCTTAAATGTTTACAAATACATGTTTTGAGAAGCTCTTAAATAGCTTTTTTATTTATTTGTTCCTCTTCTCTCATATGGTTTGTTTACTGGAGTTTATTACTGAATACTTTGTAAAACATAAGTAACCATTTATATGTTAGTGTAGCATGTAAAAACCATGTAGATGTATACTGTATATAAATCATGAACAGCAGGTATTATACATGTATTATCTTTCAATTGTTAACCCTTTATTTAAAGCCTGCAGGCACTATGCATTATGATGCTGTTACAATGCATTGTAAGACTTGTCATGAGCATCTTGCTACTAACCTGTAGCAGCAGGATAAACTGAGGGAAGCGCTGGATTGGTTTAACCATAAGACCATAAAGCGTGATTCTGTCGGGACTGGACGCTTGCTTCTTATGTGGGGTAACAAGCACAGGGCCCGGGTCAACATGGAGTCCATTACATGAGATCACAGTCAACAGAGTATGCTATATATGGCATTCTGGCGTTGTCGAACACACATTAATAATTCAGGATGAACCTTGAACGGCTGGAGGCAATCTGACTGACTTTTTCAGCAAATGCTACTAGAAAACAAGGAATGCAAATATATAATGAGCTATGAACTTATTGTATGTGAATAGATATACTGTATCAGCAAACAATTCTACAGCCTTGGGAGAGGAAAGAAGTCTAAATCATTGTAAACAGACTGATCAAATAGGAAAGCGGAGTCCACCTAGAGAAACTCCAGGAAAGCTGTCTTGGAAATGCTGGCTTTCTTCATGAGAGCGTTAGTGAAGTTGTTGACATAATCACTGTACACGTCTAGTACTATTGACTTGGAAAACTGTGAAGAGAAAAATTGATGCAAAATCCAGTCATGTGCTATAAGATCAGTGGAAGGATACATGGAAGGAAGGGGGGATGCATTTTCAAAGTATTCCAAAATGAGTGCCTTTGGCGTCCCTTTGATATTTTAAGTAGAAATTGTGCACCAATATTGAAAGTTAAATGAATAGTCCTTTAATATAGACCACATGGAGAATTCAATTAATCAGATTTTTTCTAAAGTGCCAAAATTCTCTGTCAACCCTGTGCCACTTCTAGGAAGATTTTAACCCACTTAATCCCAACATTTCTCCAAGTTTCACAATCATTGTAAAGCCTAGTTATTTTGTTGCTTTGACAAAGTCATTTCTGAAGATTATTCATTACGTCTATCCCTAATTTTAAGGTCAATCCTGTTATGTGAACTGAACTCTCGTTTTAATATGGTGAAACTATTCCTTAAAAAAAAAAAATTCCTAAAAGAAACATTGTACATCTAATAGTCAAATCATAGAGTAAAAGCAGATGAGCTGGTTCTACTCTTTTTGGCCATTTTCTGGTGTTTTTTGGTGGAAAACTGAGCGGGTCAAGCATAGCACGTCAACCCTGTTACCCATAGATACTACAGGCTAGAAATGTATTTTTTATTTATTTTTTATTGTGAAGCTGGCACTCAAGCTTGCACACAACAAGTTTTCATTCCCTCTGTCACAAGGGGATTTATGGCTGATTTAAGAAGAAATCATCAACCCTGTTACGGTCAACCCTGTTACCTTATTTGGCACTTAATAGGCATTTACTATAGTCATTGTTTTATTGAACCTCTTGAGATGGGAAAACGTGTTTTTTATTAAGTTGAACATGTGCTCTTTATGACAGAAAGTTACACTTCTCAAGGCACCGGATTGGTGGAACGACCCAGGTACCAAACGAAACGAAACAGACTGAAACAGTGAGGCAACCCCTCATTTTCATTGGACGTTGCAAAACGTTTTTTTAAACGTTTTTTTCATTGCTTGACCTAATGAACACGAACCTGGTCCCTTAATTTGGATAGAGCCATCCTCCATGCTGACCGAGGCCACAAAGAGGTCTCTGATGTTCTCACTGAGGTACCACTCGGCCACGCGAGATGCCAGGGGAATCTGGAACATGGAGTGGCACTGCAGGATCTCCCGCAGCTGGTAAAATATGGGCCGGGCCTTCTTATCACTCAGGATACGGGCTTCCGGCTCTAGCAAGGGCTTCTGGTACTCCTGGGAGCAGTGAGAAGGATAACCAATCAGAGTGATGCTCACTGGACTCATCATCACAGTGTTTACACCTACCCAGTGTGCTCAGATCTACACAAGTGCTAATTGGGGGGCTTGGGGTTGCAACCAGCCACCCAAACAAAGACCACTAAAGTTAATGTAAGTGCATTAAAATTACTTCAGACTTTCTGGGCATTAAGTGTTGAAAAAATAAAATGGTGAGGTCACTCACCTCCAAGATTCTCTTGAGAGAGTCCACATAATCCCTCTCACTTTGTACAATGGAATCAAGGATGTGGCGTCTAATAATCTGTTGGGTGGTAAGCTCCTCTGGCATAGGGCTCAGCTGGGGTGGCGGGTGCTTCACTTCAGACACCGTCACGTCAAGATAACTAGTGCCATCCCCACTTTCCTCTGTAGGGGGACATTGACACACATATACACTACCGTTCAAAAGTTTGGGGTCACTTAGAAATGTCCTTGTTTTCCATGAAAATATACATGAAATTAGTTAGAATAGGAAATATAGCAAAATGCATAGGAAATGTAGTCATTAACAAGATTAGAAATAATGATTTTTAATATAAATAATAATTGTGTCCTTCAAACTTTGCGTCGTCAAAGAATCCTCAATTTGCAGCAAATACAGATTTGCAAACCTTTGGCATTCTAGTTGGCAATTTGTTGAGGTAATCTGAAGAGATTTCACCCCATGCTTCCCGAAGAACCTCCCACAAGTTGGATTGGCTTGATGGGCACTTCTTACGTACCATACGGTCAAGCTGCTCCCACAACAGATCAATAGGGTTGAGATCCGGTGACTGTGCTGGCCACACCATTATAGACAGAATACCAGCTGACTGCTTCTTCCCTAAATAGTTATTGCATAGTTTGGAGCTGTGCTTTGGGTCATTGTCCTGTTGTAGGAGGAAATTGGCTCCAATCAAGCGCCGTCCACAGTGTATGGCATGGCGTTCCAAAATGGAGTGATAGCCTTCCTTCTTCAAGATCCCTTTTACCCTGTACAAATCTCCCACTTTATCACCACCAAAGCACCCCCAGACCATCACATTGCCTCCACCATGCTTGAGAGATGGCATCAAGCACTCCTCCAGCATCTTTTCATTTGGTCTGCATCTCACAAATGTTATTCTTTGTGATCCGAACACCTCAACCTTTGATTCGTCTGTTCATAACACTTTTTTCCAATCTTCCTCTGTCTAGTGTCTGTGTTCTTTTGCCCATCTTAATCTTTTCATTTTATTGGCCAGTGAGATGTGGCTTTTTCTTTGCAACTCTGCCTAGAAGGTCAGCATCCCAGAATCGCCTCTTCACTGTTGACGTTGAGACTGGTGTTTTGTGGGTACTATTTAATGAAGCTGCCAGTTGAGGACCTGTGAGGCATCTGTTTCTCAAACTAGACCCTCTAATGTATTTGTCCACTTGCTCAGTTGTGCACCGGGGCCTCCCACTCCTCTTTCTATTCTGGTTAGAGCCAGTTTGCGCTGTTCTGTGAAGGGAGTAGTACACAGCGTTGTACGAGATCTTCAGTTTCTTGGCAATTTCTCGCATGGAATAGCCTTCATTTCTCAGAACAAGAATAGACTGACGAGTTTCAGAAGAAAGTTCTTTGTTTCTGGCCATTTTGAGCCTGTAATCGAACCCACAATTGCTGATGCTCCAGATACTCAACTAGTCTCAAGAAGGCCAGTTTTAATGCTTCTTTAATCAGCACAACATTTTTCAGCTGTGCTAACATAATTGCAAAAGGGTTTTCTAATGATCAATTAGCCTTTTAAAATGATAAACTTGGATTATCAAACACAACGTGCCATTGGAACACAGGACTGATTGTTGCTGATAATGGGCCTCTGTTCGCCTATGTAGCTATTCCATAAAATATCAGCCGTTTCCAGCTACAATAGCCATTTACAACATTAACAATGTCTACACTGTATTACAGATCAATTTGATGTTATTTTAATGGACAACAAAATTGCTTTTCTTTCGAAAACAAGGACATTTCTAAGTGACCCCAAACTTTTGAACAGTAGTTAAATGTTTAAATCAGTCAGTCAGTTTGTTTGTCATTCAGTCAGTCAGCCAGTCAGTCAGAAGCCCTAATAATAATGCTTACCTGTGGGTGGGGGGGGGGGGGGGGGGGGGGGGGGTTGGGGGTTCTGCAGGAAAGAGACTGTAGTATCTGAACAGTTTATAATTTTGGCTGACGTTTGCAAATGGTGTGTTAGATGAATTTTACTCTGCTTTGCTGAAACATCTGGAAAGCATCACCATAGGGGCCCCCTGAAACAGAGGAGACTTGGATATGTGGAAGCCAGGGATTGGTCTATCAAAATCCACCCATCTTATGTTACATAGGATATATATCAGGTTTTCAACAAAGGACGGGGGGAATAATCATTTTTAGATTGGGTTAGTTGTTCTCCGGATTTCTGCAGAAATCTGTAAATTGACGCTGGAACCTTTGATATAATAAACCTTTATAATCAAGTACAGTGTCCGCAGATTTCTTGTCTACACAGCATATCAGCATCGTTGTCTCGACACCACAAGACTTTACGCATCATAGCTAACTTTGTCTTTTCCATCAGCAGCTTTATCTCAAAGAGAAGTGAAGGGGAAAGTAGAGAGCAAGAGAGGGAGAGAGAGAAATGCTCTGTAAATATATGAGTAAGGAGAGGAGAAACCTCACAGCTATGCTTCTCTTCAAAGGGTCCACATCAACCTGCCTTTGGCCAGAACTAGGCTACTCTGAGGCTGACCTAAATGTATTGTGTTGTCTCCTTTCCCTTCTGACTACTTAATACACAAATGATATACTGTAGATTATAATTACAGACTAGTATATACAGCATACTAGTGCTTTCATTTATCAGCGGTCAAGGCAGGTAAGATACGGTAACGGAACCATTTAGGAAAATCATGACACAGCTGCTGTCTTTCTGTACTCTATAATGATGCGGTACCTGCACAAGGACAGATCCTGCTTGGTCTTGGCACAACGCTCCTTCAGTCACCGCATGTCCTGAGAAAGCTAAAGTCATAGCCATGACAATGACCCCGATCCCACAAGCAAGTTGGAAAAACATCTGAGCGGGCGGAAAAGCTTGAAGGAAAGAGAGAGGAAAGAGTGGGATAGAGTCAGGGCAGAAGCAAGAGAAACAGCCAGTGAAATTACAAGATGTGAACACTGTTGAAGAAATTATGTCAATTGGAGGTAGAAGAATGATTTGTTTAAGAAAGTGCTGAGAAGCTCAAATGTACACCTTCTTATAATTATCCTTAGATAGTCATTATAAAAAGACATTGGTCCTACTTTGGTTCCATGGTATTCAGGAAAAAGTGTCTTTCAAACTGTCTTTCATTCAGCAAGCAAAGACAAGTCAATTGTGTTGCCCTCCTTTACAAAAGAGACAATTTCCCCTTGGTCCTAAGCCTACCCCACAAATATATATACACTGCTCAAAAAAATAAAGGGAACACTTAAACAACACATCCTAGATCTGAATGAATGAAATAATCTTATTAAATACTTAGTTGAATGTGCTGACAACAAAATCACACAAAAATTGGAAATCAAATTTATCAACCCATGGAGGTCTGGATTTGGAGTCACCCTCAAAATTAAAGTGGAAAACCACACTACAGGCTGATCCAACTTTGATGTAATGTCCTTAAAACAAGTCAAAATGAGGCTCAGTAGTGTGTGTGGCCTCCACGTGCCTGTATGACCTCCCTACAACGCCTGGGCATGCTCCTGATGAGGTGGCGGATGGTCTCCTGAGGGATCTCCTCCCAGACCTGGACTAAAGCATCCGGCAACTCCTGGACAGTCTGTGGTGCAACGTGGCGTTGGTGGATGGAGCGAGACATAATGTCCCAGATGTGCTCAATTGGATTCAGGTCTGGGGATCGGGCGGGCCAGTCCATAGCATCAATGCCTTCCTCTTGCAGGAACTGCTGACACATTCCAGCCACATGAGGTCTAGCATTGTCTTGCATTAGGAGGAACCCAGGGCCAACCACACCAGCATATGGTCTCACAAGGGGTCTGAGGATCTCATCTCGGTACCTAATGGCAGTCAGGCTACCTCTGGCGAGCACATGGAGGGCTGTGCGGCCCCCCAAAGAAATGCCACCCCACACCATGACTGACCCACCGCCAAACCGGTCATGCTGGAGGATGTTGCAGGCAGCAGAACGTACTCCACCACGTCTCCAGACTCTGTCACGTCTGTCACATGTGCTCAGTGTGAACCTGCTTTAATCTGTGAAGAGCACAGGGCGCCAGTGGCGAATTTGCCAATCTTGGTGTTCTCTGGCAAATGCCAAACGTCCTGCACGGTGTTGGGCTGTAAGCACAACCCCCACCTGTGGACGTCGGGCCCTCATACCACCCTCATGGAGTCTGTTTCTGACCGTTTGAGCAGACACATGCACATTTGTGGCCTGCTGGAGGTCATTTTGCAGGGCTCTGGCAGTGCTCCTCCTGCTCCTCCTTGCACAAAGGCGGAGGTAGCGGTCCTGCTGCTGGGTTGTTGCCCTCCTACGGCCTCCTCCACGTCTCCTGATAGCGCCTCCATGCTCTGGACACTACGCTGACAGAAACAGCAAACCTTCTTGCCACAGCTCGCATTGATGTGCCATCCTGGATGAGCTGCACTACCTGAGCCACTTGTGTGGGTTGTAGACTCCGTCTCATGCTACCACTAGAGTGAAAGCACCGCCAGCATTCAGAAGTGACCAAAACATCAGCCAGGAAGCATAGGAACTGAGAAGTGGTCTGTGGTCACCACCTGCAGAACCACTTCTTTATTGGGGGTGTCTTGCTAATTGCCTATAATTTCCACCTGTTGTCTATTCCATTTGCACAAAAGCTTGTGAAATGTATTGTCAATCAGTGTTGCTTCCTAAGTGGACAGTTTGATTTCACAGAAGTGTGATTGACTTGGAGTTACATTGTGTTGTTTAAGTGTTCCCTTTATTTTTTTGAGCAGTGTATATATATATATAGTTTCAAAACTCCAATTAAACGTTTTTGTTAAAACATATTAATTTTTTTTAAAAACAAGCATATCAACAATACCTCATATTATAGAAACTATAGTCCTGCTTGATCATAACCAACACAGACTCAGAGGAGAAATACACTTTAGCAGCAGCAGTAGGAGCAGCAATGTGTGGATAAGGTCCCAGAGAAGAAGAAGAGAAACCAAGAGACACTGCTAAAAGGTCCCAGAGAAGAAGAAGAGGAACCAAGAGAGACTGCTAAAAGGTCCCAGAGAAGAAGAAGAGGAACCAAGAGAGACTGCTGACAAAGCCACTAACTACTAAACACACAGCAAGGCAGTGCTTTTAAACTAGCTGTGTTCAGGTGCTCCTCAGTATAGGATGAGTGTGTGTTTATTAACCCAACTGTAGTTGATTTAAACACTCATACCTTTTCAGTGGAGGCTGCTGGAATGAGCAAATGGAATGGCATCAAACACATGGAAACCATGTGTTTGATGTTGTTGATACCTTTCCACATATTCCGCTACAGCCATTACCACATGCCTGTCCTCCCCAATTAAGGTGCCACCAACCTCCTGTGCTTTGTATAGTCAAGTGTTAGCATACTACACCATAGGGCTACTAGTAAAGTCGGGCATGCACGCTCAAATGCTACTACAACCAAAGCCTTTATTGGTTTTGGGATTGAAAAGTGATGTGCATTGGACTTCATAATATGCTATTAATATAATATTTGAGCCAACACAGTACTGCCATCTTGTGGAAAAGACATAGCAACAGACCATAGAGACCAGTGGAGGCTGCTGAGGGGAGGACGACTCATAATAATGTCTGGAATGGAGTGAATGGAATGGTATCAAACACTCCATTCCAGCCATTACACTCCATTCCAGCCATTATTATGAGCCGTTCTCCCCTCAGCAGACTCCACTGATAGAGATGTATAGAGATTGCAATGTTGTATCTGTCCCATTATGTTGTGTGTGAGCGCACGGGCAGCGCCATTTTGAAGTAGTGAAGTCGTGCATTCTGCCACCTGGAGTATGTTGTTTGAGCAGGTATAAAGCCAATGTTGGCGATTTACTGCCACCTGCAGTTATGGAATGTTTGCTCACGAGTATAATTCATTGGCTGATCCATCCTGATGACCTGGATGGAATTATGTAATCCTCCCTTAACCCATAGGAAGTCTCACCCAGTTGACTACTTCAAAACGGTGAAAGCACTCAATGGCGCTGCCTATGCTAAAACAGGCTTTTGTGCACTAGAGTCCACTATACATCTCCATTCAACAAACACAGACACAATGCTTACATTAATGCAACAGACATCCTTGGGTGTCATTAAATAATTGTAGCACCAAGTATTGTATAGTATCAAGGTCTGAATAACAAATACAAAAATATATAGATTGCAAAAGGAGCAGAATATACAAAATAAGAGCCCTCCCTACCTTACTACTGCTGTGGGCCACAGTGGGGACTTTGGTCTCGAAGTCTGACTGTTCATCATAGCTCTCAAACTCAATGTCGCTCCAGCCGTTGTTGGTGCCATGATGGTTCTCTGGCCTCGTTCTCATAGATGCAATCTGACACACAACCGGGAGACGTTAATCACACACATTATTCTCTCGCACACATGCATGTGCAGACGCACACACACATGCACATACACACATCCACGCGCACATGTGTGCACTTACACACACGCACATGCACACGCACACACCACTGTATGAGTCCCCACCTTCCACAGGAGAGAGGAGGCTCTCACAGGGCACGTCATCATAGTTGACCTCTGGACGACTGGTCCTAAAGATGACGTCTGGACTGGTCATGTAGATGTCATCAGGGCTGGTCGGGCTATTCAGGATGTCATAGCGGCTGGTCGGATTGGTTGTGATGACGTTATCGGGACTGGTGAGGTGGGCTGTCTGTGCAGGCCATCCCATCTGGCCCTCCGGACTAGACACGTTGTGATGGGTGATTTGAAGGAGTCAGGAGCAGGAGGGTAAATCAAAGAATACAGAGTTTATTTCCGGAATACAGTGTGACGCAGAAATGCGTCAAACAGTTTAGTGCGCAAAACAGGTGCACTGGAACTAAACAGGCACACGGGGAAAATATACCCTGGAGGACAAGGGGGCAGAGGGAACACTTATACACATACTAATGAGGGGATATGAACCAGGTGTGTGTAATAGACAAGACAAAACAAATGGAATGATGAGATGGGGAGCGGCAGTGGCTAGAAGGCCGGTGACGACGAACGCCGAAGCCTGCCCGAACCAGGAGCGGAGGCAGCTTCGGAGGAAGTCGTGATAGTACCACCCCCCCCCCCCCCCCCCCCCCCCCCCCCCCCCCCCCCCCCCACCCCCCTTGACGCGCAGCTCCAGCAGCGCGCCGACACCGGCCTCGGGGACGGCCAGGAGGACGCGTAGCAGGGCGAGCCGGATGGCGACGGTGGAAATCCCACAACAGGGAGGGATCGAGGATATCCCTCACCGGGACCCTGCACCGTTCCTCCGGACCGTACCCCTCCCACTCCACGAGGTACTGAAGGCCCCCCACCCGACGCCTCAAATCCAGGATGAAACGGACGGAGTACGCCAGGGCCCCCTTGATGTCCAGAGGAGGTGGAGGAACCTCCCGCACCTCAGACTCCTGTAGCGGACCAGCCACCACCGGCCTGAGGAGAGACACATGAAACGAGGGGTTAATACGGTAATCATGTGGGAGTAATAACCTATAGGTAACCTCGTTTATCCTCCTCAGGACTTTGAACGGCCCCACAAACTGCGGGCTCAGCTTCCGGCAGGGCAGGCGGAGGGGCAGATTCCGGGTCGAGAGCCAGACCCGATCACCCGGTACTAAGACCGGGGCCTCACTGCGGTGGCGGTCAGCATTGGCCTTCTGACAACGCACAGTGTGTTGGAGGTGGACGTGAGCAGCGTTCCACGTCTCCTCCTCGCGCCAAAACCAGTCATCCACCGCAGGAGCCTCGGTCTGGCTCTGGTGCCACGGTGCCAGAACCGGTTGGTAACCTAAAACACATTGGAATGGCGTTAGGTTAGTGGAGGAGTGACGGAGAGAGTTCTGGGCATATTCGGCCCATGGCAAGAACATTGACCACTCCCCCGGCCGGTTCTGGCAGTAGGACCGCAGGAAACTACCCACATCCTGATTCACCCGTTCCACCTGCCCGTTAGACTCGGGGTGAAAACCAGAGGTTAGGCTGACCGAGACCCCCAGACATTCCATGAACGTCTTCCAGACATTGAATGTGAACTGGGGACCCCGCTCAGACACTATGTCCTCTGGTACCCCGTAGTGCCGGAAGACGTGTGTAAACAGGGCCTCCGTAGTCTGCAGGGCCGTGGGGAGACCGGGCAGAGGAAGGAGGCGGCAGGCTTTGGAAAAGCGGTCCACAACGACCAGGATGGTGGTGTTACCTTGAGGAAGGGGAAGATCAGTAAGGAAATCAATACTCAGGTGAGACCATGGTCATTGTGGAACTGGTAAAGTCTGTAAATTACCCGCTGGGAGGTGCCTAGGTGCCTTATTCTGGGCGCACACCGAGCAGGAGGAGACAAACACCCTCACGTCCTCAGCCAAGGTAGGCCACCAGTACATTCCGGTCCGGCAGCGCACTGTACGATCGATACCTGGGTGACCAGAGGAGGGGGACGTGTGTGCCCAGTAGATCAGACGGTCACAGACAAGAGCAGGCACGTACTGCAGCCCAGCTGGACACTGAGGTGGAGATGGCTCTGTGCGTAACGCCTGCTCTATATCCGCGTCCATCGCCCATACTACCGGCGCCACAATGCAGGAGGCCGGGAGTATGGGGGTGTTGTGTCTGGGCCTCTCCTCTGGTGCGTCTGCCTTAACGTTCTTCGTACCCGGGATGTATGATAGTGTAGAAGAACGGGTGAAGAATAGGGCCCACCTGGCCTGGTGAGGGTTCAGCCTCCTCGCTGCCCGGATGTACTCCAGGTTACGGTGGTCCGTCCAGATGTGGAAAGGGTGTTGCGCCCGTTCGAGCCAGTGCCTCCACACGGTCAGGGCTCGGACAACAGCCAACAGCTCCCGATCACCAATGTCGTAGTTCTGCGCCGCCGGGCTGAGCTTCTTGGCGAAGAAGGCACAGGAGCGGAGCTTGGGTGGCGTGCCCGAGCGTTGAGATAGGACAGCGCCTATCCCTACCTCGGACGCATCCACCTCCACTACGAATGGTAGTGATGGATCGGGGTGGGCCAGTACCGGGGCTGAGGTGAACAGACCCATCAGGTTATTGAAGGCCCTGTCAGCCTCAGCAGACCAGCGGAGCCGGGACGGCCCACCCTTCAACAGATACGTGATGGGAGCTGCGACCTTGCCAAAGCCCCGGATAAACCTCCGATAGTAGTTGGCATAGCCAATAAAGCGCTGCACCTCCTTTACCGTGGTTGGAGTCGACCAATTACGCACGGCTGAAATGCGATCTCCCTCCATCTACACACCTGAGGTGGTAATGCGGTATCCAAGGAAGGAGACGGACTGTTGGAAAAACAGACACTTTTCTGCCTTGGCATAAAGGTCATGTTCCAACAGTTGGGCCAGCACTTTGCGAACCAGGGACACATGCTCGGCGCGCATAGCAGAATACACCAGAATGTCATCGATGTAGACCACTACACCGCTACCAAGCATGTCCCGAAACACCTCATTCACAAAGGACTGGAAGACGGATGGAGCATTCATCAAACCGTGAGGTATCACCAGGTATTCATAATGCCCCGTGGTTGTGCTGAATGCTGTCTTCCACTTGTCCCCCTCTCGGACACGCACCAGGTTGTATGCACTCCGGAGATCTAATTTTGTGATGAAGCGCGCCCCATGCATTGACTCGATCACAGATGGAATGAGGGGGAGAGGATAACTAAATTGTATCGTCCCCTTGTTCAGTGATCGGTGGTCAATGCAAGGGCGCAGACCGCAGTCTTTCTTCTTCACAAAAAATAAACTTGAGGAGGCGGAAGAAGTGGAGGGACGTATAAACCCCTGGCGCAGGGACTCGGTGACGTATGTCTCCATAGCCTCCATTTCAGCCTGTGACAGGGGATACACATGACTCCTGGGAGGCACAGTGTCTACCCGGAGGTTTATCGTGCAATCCCCCGCCTGATGAGGTGGTAATTTGGTCGCCTGCGTTTTGGAAAACGCATGCACCAAATCGAGGTATTCAGGGGGGAATGCGCACGGTGGAGGTACTGTCTGGACTTTCCACCGTGGTTGCATCAACGGAAACACAGAGACACCTACCCTGACACTCTCGCGACCACCCTGTGAGAACCCTCTGCGGCCATGAAAAGGTGGGGTTGTGGAGTGCTAACCAGGGGATACCTAACACAACAGGGAAAGTGACTTGCTCACGATGAATCTCGTGGGTAACCATAGTGACTGGTGCTGTAACCTCCCTAATGAACCCGGACCCTAATGGTCGACTGTCAAGTGCTCTGATGGGGAGTGGAATGGATAGGGGAACCAATGTAATGCCTAGACTGTGTGAAAATGACCTGTCCATAAAGTTCCCAGCTGCGCCTGAATCGACCAGCGCCTTACACTGGGGAACTACTATGTAATCAGGAAAGTGGATGGGTAGGGTACAGTGCGCAGCAGAGGGCTCTGAACGAGTGTGGGTGTTCGATACCTGGGGTGACGCGAGAGTGCCCTGCCTGCCGCCTCCAGACCGAAAAGAACGCTGACGACATTGTGCAGTGAAATGTCCTCTCGTGTTACCAGAGTGACACTGGCGCTGTCGTCCTCCGCTCTCCCGGATCGCCACTCTACCCAGCTCCATCAGCTCGTGATCCAAGTCGAGCGGAGTTGGAACGGGCAGGCCCCCTCCAGGACATCCTCTGGCCGCCAGCAGATTGTCCAACCAGTTGGCCATGTCCACCAGTTGAGTGAAGGACAACATGGTGTCCCGGCAGGCTAGCTACTTTCGGACGTCCTCACGTAGATGGCACCGGAAGTGGTCGATGAGGGCCCGCTCTTTCCACCCGGACCCAACTGCAAAGTCCTGCGCGGTCCTCGTCCCCTGCCTCAGGTGGAACAGCCACTCGCCCGCCTCTCAACCCTCGGCGGGTGATCGAAGACTCCCCATAGTTGTCCAACGCGGCTCCTCCTTCATTCCAGACCGCGTTGGCCCACTCCAGGGCTTTCCCCGAGAGGCAGGAGACGAGGGCGGACACCTTCTCCCGCTCCGATGGGGCCGGGCTGATGCTGGAATAGTAGAGCTCCAGTTGGAGGAGGAATCCCTGGCAGAGAGCAGCTGTCCCGTCGAAATCCTGTGGTCGGGATATATGGATCCCTCTGGGTGCTGGGGTGTGGGTGGCTGGATCCGGTCGCCCAGCTGGTCCTGACAGATCGGGTTCTCTCCTCTCCAGGCGTTGGATGACCTGGAGAACCCGATCCATCGCTTCTCCCAAACTAGCATCGTCGAATGCTCCTGGACCCGTGCCACGACTCCAGGCATGCGCTCCTTTCCTGCTGAGTCCATGTCAGGTGGGTGATTCTGTGATGGGTGATTTGAAGGAGTCAGCAGGAGGGTAAATCACAGAATACAGAGTTAATTCTGGAATACAGTGTTACGCAGAAATGCGTCAAACAGTCCAGTGAGCAAAACAGGCGCACTGGAACTAAACAGGCACACGGGGAAAACATACCCCGGCAATACAAAATACACGGAGCTCAACCGAGCTACACTCTCCTCACAATAAACAATCACCCACAAGGACAAGGGGGCAGAGGGAACACTTATACACGTACTAATGAGGGGATATGAACCAGGTATGTGTAATAGACAAGACAAAACAAATGGAATGATGAGATGGAGAGCGGCAGTGGCTAGAAGGCCGGTGACGACGAACGCCGAAGCATGCCCGAACCAGAAGAGGAGGCAGCTTCGGAGGAAGTCGTGACACACGTTTTCAATTTCAGGACTTGCTGCATCACCTGGACCTCCTACATCAAGCATGGGGGAGGTTCCCCTGCAAGAGAGCAGTACACCATTCCAACCTTAGTTAATTGGTTCAAAAGCATTTAGAGCATGGGTCGGCAACAGGCGTTTTTTGGGGGGCCCTGCCAAAAAGTCGTAACATTTAGGAGATTTTAGTTTTTGGTTAAAAAAATGACTACAATCATCAGAAATTCAGCTAAAACTTAGTTTAATTTAGGAAATCTGTTCACCAAATCTGTTCACCATTCCCACAAATGAAAAAAGAGACGTGATTGTGTAATCAAGGTATGAAATGATTGTTATTTTCAATACAATCTCCTTTTGGGCTTAGTTGTGTTCAATTTGCAGTGTATAAATTATCAGAATTATGTTCCAGCCCACCAACCATCTGCACTGACAAAAATGATCCTGCGGCTGAATCTAGTTGCGTACCCCTGACTTAGAGCATGCTACATTGGACACTACCACCACTCCCCAGGGTTTTTAGCCATGAGTGATTAGCTAAGTGAACAGAGTGACTAGCTAAGTAAACAGAGTGACTTGCTAATTAAACAGATACAAATTGTGGGTTGCAGGCCAATAAAATGACTTTCAAGGTTACTACAAGACTACCAATTCAAGGTCAATCTGGTGTACAGTCCCACTGGATTTTCCGCTGCAATGGGTATCGTAGGCATTTCTGCCCAGCATCAAAAGCACTTACAGACAGGAGACGGTGAAAATCAAAACTATCCCTACAGCCCTGACTAGTGTGGAGCGAATTAGCTTTGGGCCCCTCAGGGTTGAGAGAAAATCTGAAGAATAGGGTTCATGTCCAGGTCAATATAGCATGGTCAATAAATGCACTCCTATTACAGAGGTGAAGGTGGCTGACTGGTAAAGTGACAGCTCTCTCTGGCCCCTATAGGAAATCCAGTTGTATCTCTACAGGTGTAGGAACTTAATTTGATCACTCTTTTGTTGCTGAGAATTATCCTGAACTGCAGGAAATTAAAACTTGTAGTATAATTGAGTTTTAAAAGGGCTTCTAAAGTTTGTCATTTCCACTGAAATTTCAGACATGATTTACCCTAACAAAAAATTTATCAACCCCAACAAAAATATCCATTAATTATAATCCACTGAATAATTCACATTTCCTGTTGCTGCAGAATTATTTTCCTACTGTAGCAAACTGACTCAAATTAAGATCCTACATCTGTAGCTGTACAGTATTTGCATGTTTTGTATCTATATCAGGGAGTATTCAGTTTGCAAAGGGGTGTAATACGTCAAATATCCAGTGGCGATTTTAGCATGTAAATCTTGGTGGGATAAAAATAATAATAATGTGGGATGCATGCCAGCAAAGCCACTACACAACACAACACTAAACAATGCATTAATTGCACTATAACGGTGACAAACGGTGCCCACGAACTGTTAGGCCCTACATAAAGCTGTCACAACAGCAGAGTCCCAACAGCAGTCCCAACATCTTATCACTGCTACACCTGGCTATCAGCGGAGCCTTGTCTGGCAGCGAAACAGTTCATTAAGCTTCATTTACTGCCTTTAAAGAAAATATAGCTGATATGGCTGACATGCTTAAACAAATGTGGTTTCTACTGACAATTGAGATGTACAAACTATGGCATAAGGGGATGACGAGTGGATAAGAGGCAATCCGTAATTTCGATTAAGACATTAATGAGTGAGCTAGGGTGGACGTAGTCAATATAACTATTTGTTCAGCACTTTTGAAATGTACAGCGACAGAATTCAAAACAAGGGTTGTTCTTACAGTATTCTCCCTGTACACCAAGTCAGAACCGTAAAATAAATAAAGGGGGCACATGAGCAGACAATGAAAGCTCTTCAAATATTCGATGATGACATTTCTCTAAAACAGGCTATAGGCTAAATGTGTACCACCAAGTCAGAACAGTAGGCTAAGTTATGAGGGGGAAAGGGACCAAATTATTAGGGTGAGGCACATGGGCTACTAGCAGCTTACTACACAACATACACTTAGTATTACTTTCTTAGCTACAGTATACAGTGGGGAGAACAAGTATTTGATACACTGCCGATTTTGCAGGTTCTGGACAAAAATCCAGAAAATCACATTGTATGATTTTTAAGTAATTCATTTGCATTTTATTGCATGACATAAGTATTTGATACATCAGAATAGCATAACTTAATATTTGGTACAGAAACCTTTGTTTGCAATTACAGAGATCATACGTTTCCTGTAGGTCTTGACCAGGTTTGCACACACTGCAGCAGGGATTTTGGCCCACTCCTCCATACAGACCTTCTCCAGACCCTTCAGGTTTTGGGGCTGTCGCTGGGCAATACGGACTTTCAGCTCCATCCAAAGATTTTCTATTGGGTTCAGGTCTGGAGACTGGCTAGGCCACTCCAGGACCTTGAGATGCTTCTTATGGAGCCACTCCTTAGTTGACCTGGCTGTGTGTTTCGGGTCGTTGTCATGCTGGAAGACCCAGCCACGACACATCTTCAATGCTCTTACTGAGGGAAGGAGGTTGTTGGCCAAGATCTCGCGATACATGGCCCCATCCAACCTCCCCTCAATACGGTGCAGTCGTGCTGTCCCCTTTGCAGAAAAGCATCCCCAAAGAATGATGTTTCCACCTCCATGCTTCACGGTTGGGATGATGTTCTTGGGGTTGTACTCATCCTTCTTCTTCCTCCAAACACGGCGAGTGGAGTTTAGACCAAAAAGCTATATTTTTGTCTCATCAGACCACATGACCTTCATTCAGCCTCATTTACTGCCTTTAAAGAAAATATAGCTGATATGGTTGACATGCTTAAACAAATGTGGTTTCTACTGACAATTGAGATGTACAAACTATGGCATAAGGGGACGACAAGCGGATAAGAGGCAATCCGTAATTTTTGATTAAGACATTAATGAGAGAGCTAGGACGAACATAGTCAATATAACTATTTGTTCAGCACTTTTGAAATGTACAGCGACAGAATTCAGAACATGGGCCGTTCTTACAGTGTTCTCCCTGTACACCAAGTCAGAACCGTAGGATAAATAAAGCAGACAATGAAAGCTCTTACAATATTCAATGATTACGTTTCTCTAAAACAGGTTATAGGCTACATGTGCGCCTCCAAGTCAGAACAGTAGGTGAAGTTAAGAGGGGAAAATAGATTTATGCAGCAGCATACAATACATTTTTGGACTCACCTTGTTGTGCTGTGCTCACTTGAACAGGAAGGTGGCGTGGCGGTCCTTCTTGGGCAAATATTGTCATCAAACTTTGTCATCAAAGTCTGGCATTCTCTGGATTTGTGGTGCTTTCAAGTCAACTGGGAACTCGGAAAAAACAAGGTCGAATCATGATGACGTCAGTGACCTTCAGGTCGTAACTCTAGAAAGATGCCCGAGTTCCGGATTTACAATTCCGAGTTGGATGACCGTTCAAAACGTATCTTCCCAGTCAGAGCTCGTTTTTCCCGAGTTCCCAGTTGTCTTGAACTCACTGAAGTCAGATTTCGCAGTTTCGGGTTAACAGTTGTTTTGAGCCAGCACAAATCATGCTTCATTGACAGCATGGCCAATGTTGAATGTTTTTCATTTTAAGCTTGGAAAAGAGACCCTTAATCCCAGACTTGGGACCACACAGCCACTCCACTGAATAGCAGGCTAGTGATTGCTTTGCAATGCTTGCAGTTAACCACTGATTCCTTCCAAACCACTCATTGTTGAATTTGCGATTTCCAACTTGTTGTGTCCAATGGCCGATGAGCACCGATACGTTTTATCTATAATTTCTCTTCATTATTTCTCTTCATATGACAAGGATTAAAACGGATTTGCCAGTAGATTGTTGACTTGATTCATGATGATGACTGCTAGCTAAGAGTTTGAAAGTATGATGTTGACATGATCAGTCCAATCAAAGCTACTGTAGATATAACGTGATTTGATGTCATTTTATCTGTGGCCAATGACCTTGAGCCTTCTTGGATGGGCACTTCTAATGTAACTCTATGGTGCACCCAAGGGGCTTGAATTTTCAAGCTCTACCCTTAGACTTGGTGGTGACGTAGTGTCCCCATGAGTGACAGAACACTGAGCCAATCACGGCGCAACTAGAGAACATTACCAACACCTATGCTCCGTATTTTCCGCTGGCTGCCCCACCACCACAGAGAGCACTGAGCTAGGCTGAAACACCTGCATTTTGGAGCTACCTTACTCAATAAAGCAAAAGAGAGACCATGTTTGTATGCAGCTTTATTAACTCAATGTTAATTGTTTATTTTTTTACATTGTTTGCAAACTGGTATGTGACACGTATTAATGCCAAAATAACAATATTTTTTTTGTTGCTAAGAATGTGGGGCTCAAAACAGGTGGGGCTCTTGCACCTTTACCCACCAAGAAAGACTACTGTTAATTCCCAATTTCACAAAGTTACTTAGAAATAACAAATTATTTTCTAAATTAATTTGGCTAGGCCTACATTGGATAGGATTTTGCTACGCTGGGTAGGATTGAGGTTGAGGTGATAGTGACAGGGACAGGTAGCTTATACTAGAGATAGCTTGTACTAGAGCTCAGACTGTGGGTCACGTAGGGTGGTTAGACTCGTCTGGGGTTTAGTAAACGTTTATGCAGTCGCAGAGTGAGCTCTGACACCACACTAAACCACTCCTTGGCTAAGGTGGCTCTGCACGGTGTTTGAACTGAACAAATAATGCACACCCTGCTATGGGGAAACACACCACTGAGCTCACACACGCATGCAACTGGGATATCTCATACACACACACGCATGCATGCACGCACACACTCCCTCACGACTGAGATCACACATGCAACTGAGATCGTTCATACACATGTACGCCAGTGGAGGCTGCTGAAGGGAGGACGGCTCATAATAATGTCTTGAATGGAGTCAATGGAGTGGTATCAACCACATCAAAGACGTGGTTTGCATGTGTTTGATACCATTCCACTGACTCCATTCCAGCCATTATTATGAGCTGTCCTCCCCTCAGCAGCCTCCACTGATGCACACGCACGGCTGAGAGAGAGAGACCCTGCTGTACTCTAAATGGAATTTGTATCCTGTCATGTAAGTTACTATTATATTCAAATAGATGTCTCCGTTTTAGAGCAATGATTAGTCTGTACTTGATTTCGACGCATTCCTCTGAGCTCCGGCATCAAATGTAATATCACTAGTAGTCTCCTTTATCAATGTTTATAACCCTGACAGTCATTCTGAATGCAGGTTGCGGGTGAATGAAAATTCCAACTGTTGGCTATCCTAACTCAACAGGAATTACACATCACTTTGCAAGCCAGCATAATGTGTCTTGCAGGCCTGATGTGGCATGTAAACAAAGAGTTTCAGGCCTTATGAAATATGCAATGTATTGTCATAAAGAGTTTAATTTTAATGATAACATTCACCTAGAAACTCACTTGGTGAAGGCCACAGGACTGAAAATGAAAGAATTCAATAACCATCTCTAACCACATTTTCATCCACAATTTTTATGTGAGTAAAGTCATATCATATTTTTTTAAATCATGACAGTTGTGATGGAAACAGGAAGTTTCGGTACAATTTTATAAATGCAGACAGATAATTTGTTTGTTCGAAATGGTGGGATCTTTTTGTGTGGGTAAAATGTATTATGCGAGAAATGGCGGTGGAAACGCCATTTATATTGACATAATAGCCATCATATCACGCGTTGACATAGTGTGTGGTCCTCCCACTACGACTTGGGAAACCATGCAATTTAAATTAGGCTACAGATAAAATAGGTTATGATGATCTTCACAAGGTGATAAAAGTGCATGGTATGAGCTTGATGCTCCTTTCCAATAAATAACGAGGGTCTTATTCTGGTGACGATGATCGATGCTTGACTGCCGTTTTGACAAATAAAGATATTCTCACTCTTATCCTTCATCTCATCATGTAGACTAGCCTACCCGCAGAGCCTACCTGCACCACAGAGTTTCTAAACTGTCTTTGCCCACACTGTATCTGCGAGTTGTTGACTAGAGCGCATGTGCCAAGACCAGAGTAGGCACATTTTCTATTTAACGCAACAATGTTTTTGTGACAAAACTATTGGTAGAGTTGAAAATGAGATGGATACACATTGAACATTGAAAACTTAAGCGATTTACATCCCTGTTAGTGAGCATTTCTCTTTTGCCAAGATAATCCATCCACCTGACAGATGTGACATATCAAGAAACATGATCATTACACAGGTGCACCTTGTGCTGGGGACATAAAAGGCCACTCTAAAATGTGCAGTTTTGTCATACAACACAATGCCACAGATGTCTCAAGTTTTGTGTGAGCATGCAAAATCATGCTGACTGCAGGAATGTCTACCAGAGCTGTTGCCAGAAAATGTAATGTTCATTTCTCTACCATAAGCCGCCTCCAATGTTGTTTTAAATAATTTGGCAGTACGTCCAACCAGCCTCACAACCGCAGACCACTTGTATGGCATGGCGTTGTGTGGGTGAGCGGTTTGCTGGTGTCAACATTGTGAACAGAGTGCCCCATGGTGGCAGTGGGGTTATGGTATGGGCAGGCATAAGCTACGGACAACGAACACAATTGCATTTTATTTGTGGCAATTTGAATGTACAGGATACCGTGACGAGATCCTGAGGCCCATTGTTGTGTCATTCATTTGCCACCATCACCTCATGTTTCAGCATGATAATGTCGCAACTCCTGGAAGCTGAAAATGTCCCAGTTCTTCCATGGCCTGTACACATCACCCATGTTTGGGATGGTCAGGATTGACGTGTATGACAGTGTGTTCCAGTTCCCGCCAATATCCAGCAACTTCGCACAGCCATTGAAGAGGAGAGGGCCAACATTCCACAGGCCACAATCAATAGACTGATCAACTCTATGCAAAGGAGATGTGTCACGCTGCATGAGGCAAATGGTGGTCACACCAGATACTTACTGTTTTTTTTATCCATGCCCCTACCTTTTTTTAAAGGTATTTGTGACCAGTCATGTGAAATCCGTAGATTAGAGCCTAATGAATTTATTTCAATTGACTGATTTCCTTATGATCTGTAACTCAGTAACATCTTTGAAATTGTTGCATGCAGCATTAAAATTTTTGTTCAGTATAGTTAGTTTGGTTTCACCTGACCGGTAGCTTAGCAAGTAGAGTAGGGAGCTATGGAACATTCACATCTGTGAGGGTATGAGGTCAAATCCTGTTGAAGGCACACTATTTCAACATTTGTTTTATGTGAAACCAAACTTTCTGCACTGTTGTTAAATTGTTTTATTTAGTATAGTGTAAGCTTCTGTGTTAAGCATCCTAAATAATGCCATAGATCCAGTTTTTTTTAAATAGTCAACTTGAAAGCAGGATGTGGACCTGGTATTCCAACTGATTATAGGCGACTAAAGCCAACGATTTACCGCTGCGCCATGGAGTTTTGATGAAAACAGTGAAGAAAAAAACATATCTGATAATCACACGCTACTATTTATTGCTGACCAGCAAATGTCACTAATGAGAATTGTGTACAGATAATGAAGCTCAGAGTAATGAACCGCTTTTCAGCACTGTAACGGGGACGCAGGGAGTCAGGAAGCAAGTGCAGTCGGTGAGTTTAATAGGAACGAACTTGGAGTGGATACAAAAACAGGAGTAGCGTCTAAACATGAAAAACATGAAAACACACTACCTAATGGGTGATACAATGGAGTGCTAGATAAAGGGGAAGTAATCAGGGAGTGATGAAGTCCAGGTGTGCCTCATAATGGGGTACTGGTGTGCGATATGATGGTTGCCAGGTGTGCGTAATGATGGGTTGCCAGGACCGGTGGTTAGTAGACCAGCGACGTTGAGCGCCGGAGCGGAAGTATACGTGACAAGCACAATTTGGTGAAAGCGCCGAAGCCTTCAGAAATCCTCAGTTTCCCATCACTGGTGGAAACACACCAATGATGGGAAAATACACATGCAGATTTTAGAATATGCGCATGAAGATATGTCGCCAATTGGATGGAAACCTAGTTATTGTCACTAACAAATGCAGTCATGGGTGGTAACTCTATAATTCATTCGAAAAGGCAATGAACACTGGGAAACTATATTGGAGGCGTGGCTTAGTGGGGGCGTAGCTTTCAGTTAGTTATTTTTGGCCACCTGTGGAGTGGAATTTTGTACCAGTTTAAGTGGTCTATCGTTATGTTAATACACTGACAAAGTGTAACAGCGTCAGCACAATGTTATTTTAACACTGAAAAGTGTGGACCCATATACACACTGGCCCAGTCTTAAATGTAACACTTTCAGTGTTGATTCAACACTGTAGAATTTGGTGTGTGAACAACTCACTCACGTGCTCTGTAATAGTTTTGACACTTCACCTCTCTCAACCTCAAACTAAAGCTGTAGAGTCTTCATGTACAGTACAAACACACAAATAATTATAATAATAATAATAACTTTATTTGTACAGCGCTTTTCAATACAAGTAACAAATTGCTTCACATCATAAAATAATAAAATAAAATAAAAGTACTAACAAATAAACAAAAACAACAAGTAGAAATTAAGAAAAAAAAGATTGCTAATTAAAATCATACATTGAAATCATACATTAAAAGCTTGTCTTCAGCAGGGATATAAAAAGAGGCACTGAATCTGCAAGCCTGATCTCCTCTGGCAGACCGTTCCAGAGTCTAGCCCTAATGGCAAATGCCCAGTCTCCTTTAGGTTTCAACCTCGGAATGGTCAACAGTGCCCTGCCAGAGGATCTCAGGCTGCATCCTTGCTCGTAGGGAGACTTAACCCTAATTGCTCCTGTAAGTCACTCTGGATAAGAGCGTCTGCTAAATGACAAACAAAACAAAAAAAACAACAAAAAAAAACGATCTGAGATATAGGATGGGTCTAAACTAAGCCTAGCCTTAAACGTGATTAATACAATTTTAAAATCTATTCTAAAAGTGACTTGTAGCCAGTGTAGAGAAGCTAAAATAGGTGTGATATGGTTACATTTCCTGGTGCCTTTTAAAAGCCGAGCTGTAGCGTTCTGAATTAACTGTGGACAATGGAGTGATTTCTGACAGAGACAGGTATACAAAGAGTTACACTAATCTAGGCGTGAGCAAATAAAAGCATTGTATACGTTTCTCCAGATCAGTGACTGAGATAAAATACTTGACTTTAGATATCTTTCTTAGATGATAAAAGCAGGACTGGACAACCTTCTTTACCTGCAGCTCGAGGTTCAGGTCAGGGTCAAAGAAGACACCAAGGTTTCTGGCCGTATGCTTTACATTTGTGGACAAATGACAAAGGTTATCTACAATCTGACTTATAGCAAGGTGGGGGTCAAATACAACAACCTCAGATTTTTTTAAATCATTGAGCTGGAGAAAATTGTCAGACATCCAACATTTGATGTCATCAAGACACTTGTAAAGGGTAGCTACGCTGGCTTGGTCACTGGGTCTGAATGGTAAATAGAGCTGCGTGTCATCCGTTTAGCAGTGAAACTGAATGTTATGATTGCGGATGATACAGTATCACCAAGAGGAAGCATATATAGTGAAAAAAGGATGGGGCACAGAATTGACCCCTGAGGGACACCATAGTGCATAGGTGCTGGGGACGATACTGAACCACCCATGCTCACTGAGAAACGTCTGCCACATAGATATGACCTGAACCAGTCGAGGGAAACGCCAGAGATTCCCACCCACCTCTCCAGCCAGTCAACAAGGATGTTATGATCAATAGTGACAAACGCAGCACTGAGATCCAAAAGAACTAGAATGGAGAATTAATCAGCAGCCAACAGAAGGTCATTGCTGACTTTCAATAAAGCAGTTTCCGTGCTGTGAAGTGAGGGGAAGCCCGGCTGGAATTTGTCAAAAAGTTGTTAATACTCAAATGAGCCACCAATTGCTTCAAAACAACTTTTATAAAAAAGGAAGCTTAGAGATAGGTCTATAATTATTCCGTGAGGAGGGGTCTACTTGCTATTAGCCACCATTAGCGGTTTTTTCACCATTGTCCGTGGCCTGCACTACCTACCAGCCAGCTCTAGCCTGGACTATTATCGGCCAGTCTGCACAGCACGTTATCGACCCAGAACATATCGGATTTTCTGCCGGAATCACTGAATCACTGGACCTTTAACACCGGATCATCGCAACTAGCTAGCTGCAACCGAATGGATGTTGTGGTTGGCTAATCAGCGTTGAGCTAGCGGACGGGACCTCCTAGTGTCGACACGGAGCCCCGCCGATCCATCACGACTGGTCTGCCGACGTAATCGTCTGTGGTTTCAACAGGCTTCCCGTTGCGACGACCACGAAGATCCATCTGCCAGCCCCGGCCCGCTAGCACACGCATTTCAACAGCCGTGCTTCCTGCTCGCCTGTGCTGTAGCACCAATTCGAACTGCTCTCAGACTCACATATTGCTGTTCACTGGACCTTATGATCACTCAGCTGCACAGCTGATGCCTGCTGGACTGTTCCTTTACACGGTACCCTGTCCTGTTTTATCTGTTTACCCTCAGCCCAAACTTTCATTGCCATTACCAGTTGTTGTCTTAGCTCTCTCGAAAAACACCTATGATTGCTTTATGCCTCTCTCCCATGTCAATATGCCTTAACTATTGCTGTTCCAGTTAGTTCTTATTATACAATTTCACTGTAGAGCCCCAAGTCCCAGTCACGGTTTCGGCCGAGGCTGCTCCTCCTCCTTGTTCGGGCAGGCTTCGGCGGTCGTCGTCCCCGGAGTACTAGCTGCCACCGTTCGATGTTTCATGTTTGTTTGGTTTTGTCTGTTTGTACACCTGTCCCTTGTTAGTGTTTGATTTTGTTTCCTATTTAGTTATCGTGTGTTGGGGCAGGTGTTATGTGTGATTGTTATGTCAGCTGTTGCTGTTGATGGTTTTTCTCTCTCGTGTTGTTTGTGTCGAGAGTCCGCACTGCGTGCGCCTTTTCTTGTTTTACGCACTGTTGTGTGTGTGCGTAATTTGTTTATGCCTCCCGGTTGGGTTGGCTATTCACCTGTTTGGAGTTACTATTTTGGATTACTAAAGTCTGTTGACGAACACCCTTGTTCCTGCGCTTGATTCCCTGCACCACATCCACACTCAGCGTTCTGACAGAATCACACATCACACCATGGAATCAGCAGGAGCAACCGCGCCAACAGAGATTATGGAGGACCGTCTTCGTGGGCAGGAGGACAGGATCAACCAGATCGGTCACACCCTGGATCAGGTGATGAACACTCTCCACCGATGGGAAAGCAGCGGGGTACCCACGCCCCCACCTACCGGACCATCCCCATCGGTCAGTCCTCCTGTCCACCTTCCGGAAACCAGTGGGATTCGGCTCTCGCTCCCGAGGGCGTACGACGGCTCCGCTGCCGGGTGTCAAGGGTTCCTGCTGCAAGTAGAGCTCTACCTCGCCACCGTACACCCGGAGCCCTCGGGACACGAGAGCGTCTCCGCCCTCATCTCCTGTCTCACCGGCAAGGCGTTGGAGTGGGCCAACGCCGAATGGAGGAGAATGGACGCCGCTACCGTTACCTATGCGGAGTTCTCCCGCCGCTTCCGTGCCGTGTTTGACCATCCACCAGAAGGGAAGGCGGCGGGGGAGCGTCTGTTCTACCTCCGACAGGTGATGAGGAGCGCCCAGGATTTTGCTCTGGAGTTCCGGACTCTAGCGGCAGATGCAGGGTGGAATGAGCAGGCCCTCATAGACCACTTCCGCTGCAGCCTCCAGGAGGACGTCCAGAGAGAGTTGGTGTGCAGGGATACCACGTTGTCGTTTGACCAACTGGTCGACATGGCCATTCGGCTGGACACCCTGCTCGCCACCCGTGGACGTCCCGGGTGGGGGTCGCCCATTTCACCCTCCAGCACCTCCGAGCCGAGCCCTATGGAGCTCGGGGGTGCTGGCGCTAGAGAACGGAGGAGTAGGAACCCGAGGGGGGCCATTCCCTGCACTAACTGTGGCCGTGGAGGGCACACCGCGGCTAGGTGTTGGGGAAGGTCCCCCGGTGGAGGTGAAGGCAGGCCACGCATTGGGGAGTCCCCCCAGGTGAGTAGGCGCCCTACTTACCCAGAGCTTTCTGTCGTTCACATAACCTTGCCTGTTTGTTTTCCACAGGTTGCACCTCGTTCCCAGCATAAGGCGCTAGTGATTCAGGCGCAGCTGGGAATTTTGTAGATCGCCAGTTCTGTGTAGAGTTAGGGATTCCTCTCCTTCCCGTTGATAAGCCTTTCCCTGTACATGCCCTAGATAGCCGTCCGTTAGGATCTGGGTTGATTAGGGAGGTCACAGCGCCCCTTAAGATGGTGGCGCAGGGGGGTCATGAGGAGACGATTCAGCTCTATCTGATTGACTCTCCTGCGTATCCGGTGGTGCTGGGGCTTCCCTGGTTGATTACCCATGACCCTACTATTTCGTGGCGAGAGAAAGCTCTTAAAGGGTGGTCTGCTCAGTGTGAGGGGCTGTGTCTGGGTGTTTCCATAGGGGCGACCTCGGTGGAAAGTCCGAATCTAATGCCAGCACTGCATATTCCCCCCGAGTATGAGGATTTGAAACTGGTGTTTAGTAAGACTAGGGCGGCGCAGCTGCCGCCTCATAGACAGGGGGATTGTGCGATAGATCTCCAGTCAGGAGCAGCCCTCCCGCGGAGCCATGTGTATCCCTTGTCTCAAGAGGAGAGGAAGGCAATGGAGACTTACATCGCCGAGTCTCTGAGACAGGGATACATACGGGCCTCCACTTCACCCGCTTCCTCGAGCTTCTTTTTTGTGAAGAAAAAAGATGGAGGTCTGCGCCCGTGTATTGATTACCGCGGTCTCAATCAGATTACGGTGAAGTACAGCTATCCACTCCCTCTGATTGCGACTATGACGGAGTCATTACACGGTGCTCAGTTCTTCACAAAATTGGATCTCAGGAGCGCATATAACTTGGTGCGCATTAGAGAGGGCGATGAATGGAAGACAGCGTTTAGCACGACCTCCGGACATTACGAGTATCTCGTCATGCCATATGGGTTAATGAATGCTCCCTCAGTCTTCCAATCCTTCGTCGATGAGATTTTCCGGGACATGCAGGGACAGGGAGTAGTCGTGTACATAGACGATATTCTGGTGTACAGTTCCTACCCGAGCAGAGCATGTAGCCCTGGTGCGCCGAGTGTTGAGGAGGCTGTTGGAGCATGACCTATATGTCAAGGCAGAGAAATGTCTGTTCTTTCAGAAGTCGGTCTCCTTTTTGGGTTATCAGTTGTCTGCGTCAGGGGTGAAGATGGAGGTTGACCGGGTGTCAGCTGTGCGTAATTGGCAAACCCCAACCACTGTGAAAGAGGTGCAACAGTTCTTGGGTTTTGCGAATTATTACCGGAGGTTTATCCGGGGTTTTGGACAGGTGGCAGCTCCCATAACGTCTCTGTTGAAGGGGGGTCCGGTGCGCTTGCGGTGGTCAGCTGAGGCGGACAGGGCTTTTGGGAAACTGAAGGACCTGTTTACCTCAGCGCCGGTGTTGGCGCATCCGGATCCCGCTTTACCTTTCCAGGTAGAGGTAGACGCGTCCGAGGCCGGTATTGGGGCCGTTCTCTCACAACGGTCTGGCACACCACCTAAACTCCGCCCATGTGCTTTTTATTCTAAGAAGCTCAGTCCGGCGGAACGGAATTATGACGTAGGGGACAAGGAGCTGTTAGCCGTGGTACAGGCCCTAAAGGTGTGGAGGCATTGGCTTGAAGGGGCTCAACACCCTTTCCTCATTCTAACTGACCACCGTAACCTGGAATACATCCGGGCAGCTAGGAGACTGAATCCTCGCCAGGCCCGCTGGACTATGTTTCTAGCCCGGTTTGTGTTTAAAATCACTTACATCCCTGGGTCCCAGAACGGGAAGGCAGATGCCCTGTCTCGGCGGTATGACACGGAGGAGAGGTCCGTTGAGCCCACTCCCATACTACCAAAGTCTTGTCTGGTCGCACTGGTGGTATGGGAGGTCGATGCCGAGATCGAGCGGGCGTTACGCACCGACCCAAGTCCTCCACAGTGTCCAGTGGGTCGGACGTACGTTCCACTCGAGGTACGCGATCGCCTCATTTATTGGGCTCATACGTCCCCCTCCTCTGGACATCCAGGTATCGGCCGGACAGTTCACTGCCTTAGCACTAAGTACTGGTGGCCAACGTTAGCCAGGGATGTGAGGATTTATGTCTCCTCCTGTTCGGTGTGTGCCCAGTGTAAGGCGCCCAGACATTTGCCCAGGGGTAAGCTACAACCCCTGCCCGTTCCACAACGACCCTGGTCCCACCTCTCGGTGGATTTTGTTACAGACCTTCCCCCCTCACAGGGGAATACTACCATCCTGGTCGTTGTGGATCGGTTCTCGAAGGCCTGTCGTCTCCTTCCCATGCCGGGTCTACCTACTGCCCTACAGACCGCTGAGGCTCTGTTTACCCATGTCTTCCAGCATTACGGGGTACCCGAGGATATAGTGTCTGATCGAGGCCCCCAGTTCACCTCCAGAGTGTGGAGAGCGTTTATGGAACGGTTGGGGGTTTCGGTGAGCCTTACCTCGGGTTACCACCCGGAGAGTAATGGGCAGGTTGAACGTGTTAACCAGGATGTGGGTAGGTTTCTGAGGTCTTATTGCCAGGGCCGGCCGGAGGAGTAGGCGAGATACGTTCCTTGGGCCGAGATGGCACAGAACTCTCTCCGCCACTCCTCCACCCAACTAACCCCTTTCCAGTGTGTGTTAGGGTACCAGCCGGTTCTGGCACCTTGGCACGAGAGCCAGATCAAGGCCCCTGCGGTGGATGAGTGGGTGCGGCGCTCAGGAGGAGACATGTAACGCTGCCCACGTTCATCTGCAGCGGGCCATCCGTCGGCATAAGACGAGCGCCGATCTCCACCGCAGTGAGGGGCCTGTGTACGCACCTGGAGATCGAGTCTGGCTCTCGACCAGAAACCTGCCCCTCCGCCTGCCCTGCCGGAAGCTGGGTCGGCGGTTTGTGGGGCCATTCAAAGTCCTGAGGAGGTTGAACGAGGTGTGTTACAGGTTAGAACTGCCTATTGATTACAGGAATATTAACCCCTCGTTCCATGTGTCTCTCCTCAGGCCGGTGGTAGCTGGTCCACTCCAGGACTATGAGATAGAAGAGACTCCTCCGCCCCCGTTGGACATCGAGGGGGCTCCGGCGTACACTGTGAGGTCCATCCTTGATTCGAGACGCCGGATGGGGGGTCTCCAATATCTCGTGGAGTGGGAGGGGTACGGCCCGGAGGAGCGGTGCTGGGTGCCGAGGAGGGACATATGAGACCAGTCCTTGCTGACCGAGTTCCATCGGGGTCATCCTACGCGCCCTGCTCCGCGTCGTCCTGGTCGTCCCCGAGGCCGGGATCGGCCAAGCTGGAGCGCGCGTCAGGGGGGGGTACTGTCACGGTTTCGGCCGAGGCTGCTCCTCCTCCTTGTTCGGGCAGGCTTCGGCGGTCGTCGTCCCCGGAGTACTAGCTGCCACCGTTCGATGTTTCATGTTTGTTTGGTTTTGTCTGTTTGTACACCTGTCCCTTGTTAGTGTTTGATTTTGTTTCCTATTTAGTTATCGTGTGTTGGGGCAGGTGTTATGTGTGATTGTTATGTCAGCTGTTGCTGTTGATGGTTTTTCTCTCTCGTGTTGTTTGTGTCGAGAGTCCGCACTGCGTGCGCCTTTTCTTGTTTTACGCACTGTTGTGTGTGTGCGTAATTTGTTTATGCCTCCCGGTTGGGTTGGCTATTCACCTGTTTGGAGTTACTATTTTGGATTACTAAAGTCTGTTGACGAACACCCTTGTTCCTGCGCTTGATTCCCTGCACCACATCCACACTCAGCGTTCTGACAGTCCCTCTCAAACTGCCTCAAATAGCTCCTTTGTTCCACCCCCCATACACGCGGAGACCAGCACAATCGGTGCCTCCAGTGATGCTCTCTTTCATTGTTACCCAACGCTTAGGTTTACCTCCACTGTACTCATATCCTTCCATATCCTTAACATAATGCCCTGAATCTATTCTACAACGCCCGGAAATCTGCCCCTTTTATTCTCTGTACCCAACGCACTAGAAGACCAGTTCTTAAAGCCTTTAGCCGTATCCTTATTCTAGTCCTCCTCTGTTCCTCTGGTGATGTACAGGTTAACCCAGGCCCTGCAGCCCCCAGTATCACTCCTACTCCCCAGGCACTATCATTTGTTGACTTCTGTAACCGTAAAAGCCTTGGCTTTTTGCATGTTAAAATCAGAAGCCTCCTCCCTAAGTTTGAGTTATTCACTGCGTTAGCACACTCCGCCAACCCTGATGTTCTAGCAGTGTCTGAATCCTGGCTTAGGAAGGCCACCAAAAATTCAGAAATGTCCATCCCCAACTACAACATTTTCCATCTAGATATAACTGCCAAAGGGGGTGGAGTTGCAATCTACTGTAGAGATAGCCTGCAGAGCTCTATCATACTGTCCAGGTCTGTGCCAAAACAGTTTGAGCTCCTACTTCTAAAAATCCACCTTTCCAGAAATAAGTCTCTCACTGTTGCCACTTGCTACAGACCCCCATCAGCCCCCAGCTGTGCCCTGGACACCATATGTGAATTGATTGCCCCCCATCTATCCTCAGAGTTCGTACTGCTTGGTGACCTAAACTGGGATATGCTTAACACCACGTCCATCATACAATCCAAAATAGATCCCCTCAATCTGACACAAATTATCAAGGAACCTACCAGGTACAACCCTAAATCCGTAAACATGGGCACCCTCATAGATATCATCCTGACTAACATACCCTCTAAATACACCTCCGCTGTCTTCAACCAGGATCTCAGCGATCACTGCCTTATTGCCTGCGTCTGTAACGGGTCCGCGGTCAAACGACCACCCCTCATCACTGTCAAACGCTCCCTAAATCACTTTAGCGAGCAGGCCTTCCTAATTGACCTGGCCCAGGTATCCTGGATGGATATCGATCTCATTCCGTCAGTAGAGGATGCCTGGTTGTTTTTTAAAAGTGCTTTCCTCTCAATCTTAAATAAGCATGCCCCATTCAAGAAATTCAGATATAGCCCCTGGTTCTCCTCAGACTTGACTGCCCTTGACCAGCACAAAAATATCCTGTGGCGTACTGCATTAGCATCAAATAGCCCCCACGATATGCAGCTTTTCAGGGAAGTTAGGAACCAATATACACAAGCAGTTAGGAAAGCAAAGGCTAGCTTTTTAAAACAGAAATGTGCATCCTGTAGCACTAACTCCAAAACGTTTTGGGACACTGTAAAGTCCATGGAGAATCAGAGCACCTCGTCCCAGCTGCCCACTGCACTGAGGCTAGGAAACACTATCACCACCGATAAATCTACAATAATCGAGAATTTCAACAAGCATTTTGCTACGGCTGGCCATGCTTTCCACCTGGCTACCACTACCCCGGCCACCAGCTCTGCACCCTCCCCGCTTCTCCTTCACACAAATTCAGACAGCTGATGTTCTGAAAGAGCTGCAAAATCTGGACCCCTACAAATCATCTGGGCTAGACAATCTGGACCCTTTCTTTCTAAAATTAGCAGCTGAAATTGTCGCAACCCCTATTACTAGCCTGTTCAACCTCTCTTTCGTAACGTCTGAGATCCCCAGAGATTGGAAAGCTGCCGCGGTCATCCCCCTCTTCAAAGGGGGTGACACTCTAGATCCAGACTGTTACAGACCTACAGTGAGGGAAAAAAGTATTTGATCCCCTGTTCATTTTGTACGTTTGCCCACTGACAAAGAATTTATCATGTCGTTTTAATGGTAGGTTTATTTGAACAGTGAGAGACAGAATAACAACAAATAAATCCTGAAAAACTGATTTCAAAAATGTTATAAATTGATTTGCATTTTAATGAGGGAAATAAGTATTTGACCCCCTCTCAATCAGAAAGATTTCTGGCTCCCAGGTGTCTTTTATACAGGTAACGAGCTGAGATTAGGAGCACACTCTTAAAGGGAGTGCTCCTAATCTCAGCTTGTTACCTGTATAAAAGACACCTGTCCACAGAAGCAATCAATCAATCAGATTCCAAATTCTCCACCATGGTCAAGACCAAAGAGCTCTCCAAGGATGTCAGGGACAAGATTGTTGATCTCAAGGCAGCTGGGACCATAGTCACCAAGAAAACAATTGGTAACACACTACGCCATGAAGGACTGAAATCCTGCAGCGCCCGCAAGGTCCCCCTGCTCAAGAAAGCACATATACAGGCCCGTCTGAAGTTTGCCAATGAACATCTGAATGTTACGCTATGGTTAAACCCAGTACTCAGAGAAACAAAACACGACTAAGGGAGTGGAAGAAACAAAAATTATTTTAATAAAAGTTCAATTTGTCTTAGTCCAAAAACAACTGAAGAAAAGGAACAGAGTGGGCTAGTCGGCTCCGGAGGAAGGAGAGGCTGAGGCAGGCAGGCAGGCAGGCAGGCAGGCAGGCAGGCAGGCAGGCAGGAAGGCAGGCAGGCAGGCAGGGAGGTATGTCTGAACTGAAGACAAAACAAACGACAGGTTAAGGAGAGTAAAGAGCCAGGCTGAAGACAAAGACAATTTAACTCTACTGGTGAGCCAAGTTACCGCTCTAGTAAGAACAACGATCTGGCGCCGGTGGAGAGGCATGCCCAGGAATTAGTAGTGCAGGTTGATGAGAGAATAGGATGCAGCTGCGTAGGCAGGAATCACTGGAAACAACCCGCAGCTGCACAGGAGAGGCAGATCCTGAGCACGCCCCCCGATCCACTCCAGACACACACCGGCAGACGCACCAACATAATGGGGACAAACACACATACAGATACAACAGACAAAGAGGGGACAAAACAAGGAGGAAGGGAAACAGAAAAGGGAGAGACAAGCTGCCCACATAACAGTACCCCCCCCCCCCCTCAATGGTCGCCACCTGGCGACCCACCAGGCCTGTCAGGGTTGTCATGATGGAAGTCCGTGATCAGCTGAGGATCCAACACAAAACGCTTAGGGACCCAAGACCTCTCCTCTGGTCCATAACCTTCCCAATTGACTAGGTATTGGAGACCCCTACCCCGCCTCCGAGAGTCCAGGAGCCTACTGACGGTGTAGGCCGGATGGTCGTCAATGAGGCGAACAGGTGGAGGTGGATCTGCCGGCGGACACAAAAGGCTGGAGGACACAGGTTTCAGTTGGGAGACGTGGAAAGTAGGGTGTATCTTCATGGCTGAAGGCAACTTCAAACGAACCGCAGCGGGGTTAACGATGGACTCCACCACAAACGGACCCAGGTACCGAGGAGACAGCTTGCGTGATTTGATACGAAGAGGTACGTTCTTTGATGACAGCCAAACTTCTTGACCAGGATGAAACACAGGTGCGGGAGTCCTGCTCCTATCCGCTGTGGTCTTGTTCCTGTCGGTGGTCCGAAGCAACGCTTCCCGAGCGTCGCTCCACACTCTCTGGCAGCGGCGGAGGTTCTCCTGAACCGAAGGAACAGCCAATTCCTTCTCCTGAGCAGGAAACAGAGGGGGTTGATAACCCATGGTTACTTCGAAGGGTGAAAGGCCGGTGGCAGAGGTGGTGAGGGAGTTGTGGGCGTACTCTATCCAAGGCAGATGTTTGGCCCAGGATGATGGATGTTGAGCAGCCACACAACGAAGGGTTGCTTCGAGGTCTTGATTGGCTCTTTCTGTTTGACCGTTGGTCTAGGGATGAAACCCTGAGGACAGACTAACGGAAGCACCCAAAGCAGAACAGAAAACCTTCCAAACACGGGAAGTAAACTGTGGGCCTCTATCAGATACGATGTCCACAGGTATTCCATGGGGACGGAATACATGTTGGACTAGGAGGTCCGCTGTCTCACTGGCAGACGATTTAGAGAATCTGTCCACAATGGTAAGTATAGTATCATTACCTTCAGACTTGGGTAGGCCGGTGACAAAATCCATGGCTATGTGGGACCAGGGACGGCTGGGTACTGGGAGGGGTAGCAGCAGCCCCGAAGGGGACTGATGGGAGGCTTTGCCCCGAGCACAGGTTGAACAGGCTGCCACAAAAGCCCCGAACGTCAGTTTCCATTGAAGGCCAACAAAAATGCCTCTTAAGCAGCGTCAACGTGCGTCTCATCCCAGGGTGACCAGCAAAACGGGAGGTGTGAATCCACTGCAACACCTAAGACCGGACCGTCTCGGGAACAAAGAGTAGGTTTGGGAGGTCCATCACCCGGTCCCGGGTCCGTGGCAAGTGCAGTCTTCACAAGAGACTCGATCTCCCACTGTACTGCCGCCACGACGCATGAGGAAGGTAGGACTGCCTCAGGCTCGCTGGTCTCCGAAGGGTCAGCAAACTGGCGGGACAAAGCATCTGGTTTAACATTTCTTGACCCCGGTCTGTATGTTAGAATAAAGTTAAACCTACTAAAAAACAGGGCCCATCTGGCTTGGCGTGAGTTGAGTCTCTTAGTGGCTTGGATGTAAGCCAAGTTTTTTGTGGTCTGTCCAGACCACAAACGGCAGTTCAGCTCCATCCAGCCAGTGCCGCCATTCTTCCAGTGCTAGCTTGACCGCCAGCAGTTCCCGGTTTCCAACGTCGTAATTCCGTTCTGTGGGTGACAATTTCTTGGAGAAAAAAGCACAGGGGTGAAGCTTTTGGTCAGTGGGGGGAGCGCTGGGAGAGGACTGCTCCCACACCTGAGTCAGACGCGTCCACCTCCACAATAAACTGCAGAGAGGTATTGGGGTGTATCAACACGGGGGAGGTGGAAAACAGTTCCTTCAAAACCCCTACCGCCTGCTCCGCCTCAGGGGAACCACAGAAAAGGGACTTTTGGGGACGTGAGTCTAGTAAGGGGTGCCACCACTTTACTAAAACCTTAATGAATCTACGGTAGAAGTTAGCAAAGCCCAAAAATCATTGAAGTTGCTTACGGGTGGTGGGTGTGGGCCATTCCGTCACTGCCCGGATCTTCTCGGGGTCCGCCTTCACCTGCCCGCTCTCAATGATGAACCAAGGAACGATGTAGACTGTTTGTGGAACTCACACTTTTCTGCTTTGACGTACAGCTTATTCTCCAAGAGCCGTTGAAGGACTTGACGGACGTGTGACTCATGCTCCTCGGGTGACTTGATAAAAACAAGAATATCATCCAGGTATACAAAGACAAAATGGTTCAAAAAATCCCTAAGAACATCGTTCACCATGGCTTGGAATACAGCAGGGGTGTTTGAGAGCCCAAAGGGCATGACCAAATACTCAAAATGCCCCAGTGGAGTGTTGAAAGCGGTTTTCCACTCATCTCCCTTTCGGATTCTGACAAGGTGATAAGCGTTCCTGAGGTCGAGCTTGGAGAAAACTGTGGCGCCATGCAGAGGTTCAAAAGCTGAGTTGATGAGTGGAAGGGGGATACTTGTTTTTAACAGTTATGTTGTTTAAACCCTGAAATCGATACAGGGCGTAACGACTTGTCTTTCTTTTCAACGAAAAAGAAACCTGCACCCAAAGGAGACGACGAGGGACGGATTATGCCCGAGGCCAGAGAATCACCAATATACTGCTCCATTGCCTCTCTTTCCGGTCGGGACAGATTGTATAAGTGACTAGAGGGCAAGGGAGCACCAGGAATCAGTTCAATAGGGCAATCATAAGGCCTATGTGGTGGTAGAGACAGAGCCTTGTCCTTACTGAAAACCTCAGCTAAGTCATGGTATTCTTTGGGGACAGATGACAGATCGGGAGGAGCTGAGGGATGAGTTGGGTTTACACTTAGTGGGGGGAACCGCTGACCTCAGGCACTCTGAATGGCAGTTAGTGCTCCAACTGAGAATGGTGTGACGTGTCCAATAAATTTGTGGGTTGTGAAGAGCCAACCAGGGGAAGCCAAGGATTAGGGGGGTAGCTGAGCCAGACATAGCTCTTAACTGAATGCTTTCACAATGATTGCCAGAAATCACTAGGGAAACGGGGGTGGTTTGATGAGTTATCTCCGCGAGGAGGCGCCCATCAAGGGCTGTGACTCGAATGGGGGTAGGTAGTGGCTCCACGGGGATACGAGCTTGTGTAACGAACTGGTGGCTAATAAAGTTGTCTTCTGCACCTGAGTCTATGAGAGCTAAGAGTGGCAGGGAATGACTCTGGAAACGTAAGGTTTACAGGTACTTGTAATCGGGGAATGATGGGTTCAGGATCTAACTCTGGGCTCGCAAGTAGACCCCACCGTTACGAGCGAGCCTTGTCTTTTGGGTCGCTTAGGGCATGTAGCCAGAATGTGTGTGGCGTCTCCACAGTACAGGCACTCACCCGCCTGGAGGCGCCGTTGCCCGCTCTGCTGGAGGTAGTCGAGCTCGACCCACATGCATTGGTTCCTCCTCTGTGCTCGGGATGGGATCAGGAACAAGAAGCTGCCGGCTCCGGGGAGGCGAGACTCGAGTGGTTGAAGGCTGGGGGAACTCGTCCTCCTAGATGTGGCCGACCGCCTCTCTCCCCCGACGCCTCTCCCGCAACCGATTGTCTAGCTTAATGGACAGGGAAACGAGAGAATGTAAATCATGTGGCTCGTCACGAGCAGCCAGTTCATCCTTAATGGCTTCATTCAAACCGTTTAGAAATGCTCCTTGAAGTGCCACATTGTTCCACTTGGAGCCCGCTGCCCAAGTCCAGAACTCAATAGAGTACTCAGCCACACTGTTAGAACCCTGCCTCAATTAAAAAGCCTATTGGAGGAATTACCCACATGGTCAGGATGGTCAAAAACAGTCTTAAATTTTAGCAGAAAAATCAGCAAAAAAGTCAATCCAGTCAAAGTTTGATTTGAGCACACAGACTCAGCCCAAACCAGAGCTCTCCCTCTTAACAGCCCCCAGAACATAATGTACCTTAGAGGAATCAGTAGAAAACGACAGTGGTCTCTGCAGAAAATCAAGTCACACTGAAGCAAAAATCCCCGGCACTTGTCCAATTCTCCATTGAACGGTTCAGGCGACGTGACAGGGGGTTCCCGATGGAACGAAGCCTGCATAATGTCAGAGGAAACAACTTGGGGTGCATCAAACTGGGGGTCAGAGAGAGATGGGAGAACTGATAACAGACAATTTAGAGACTTGTGTTGTTAACTGAGTCACCTATTTCAGCAGTTGATGATTATTTTCCAAAAGAGGTCCGAATCAATTGGTCATGCTGTCCTAGCAACGTTCCTTGAGCCTGGATAGCTTGTTGGAAGCTGTCTTGGTTTCCCCCGTGCTGTTTCTCTGTTAGGTCCATGGCCAGATCGTTCTGTTACGCTATGGTTAAACCCAGCACTCAGAGAAACAAAACACGACTAAGGGAGTGGAAGAAACCAAAAGTGATTTTAATAAAAGTTCAATTTGTCTTAGTCCAAAAACAACTGAAGAAAAGGAACAGAGTGGGCTAGTCGGCTCCGGAGGAAAAGAGAGGCTTAGGCAGGCAGGCAGGCAGGCAGGTTGGGGAGGTATGTCTGAACTGAAGACAAAACAAACGGACAGGTTAAGGAGAGTAAAGAGCCAGGCTGAAGACAAAGACAATTTAACTCTACTGGTGAGCCAAGTTACCGCTCTAGTAAGAACAACGATCTGGCGCCGGTGGAGAGCCATGCCCAGGAATTAGTAGTGCAGGTTGATGAGAGAATAGGATGCAGCTGCGTAGGCAGGAATCACTGGAAACAACCCGCAGCTGCACAGGAGAGGCAGATCCTGCAGCACGCCCCCCGATCCACTCCAGACACACACCGGCAGCCACACCAACATAATGGGGACAAACACACATACAGAACAACAGACAAAGAGGGGACAAAACAAGAGGAAGGAAACAGAAAAGGGAGAGACAAGCTGCCCACATAACACTGAAATGATTCAGAGGAGAACTGGGTGAAAGTGTTGTGGTCAGATGAGACCAAAATCGGAGCTCTTGGGCATCAACTCAACTCGCCGTGTTTGGAGGAGGAGGAATGCTGCCTATGACCCCAAGAACACCATTCAACAACCGTCAAACATGGAGGTGGAAACATTATGCTTAGGGGGTGTTTTTCTGCTAAGGGGACAGGACAACTTCACTGCATCAAAGGGACGATGGACGGGGCCATGTACCGTCACATCTTGGGTGAGAACCTCGTTCCCTCAGCCAGGGCATTGAAATGGGTCATGGATGGGTATTCCAGCATGACAATTGACCCAAAACACACGGCCAAGGCAACAAAGGAGTGGCTCAAGAAGTAGCACATTAAGGTCCTGGAGTGGCCTAGCCAGTCTCCAGATCTTAATCCCATAGGAAATCTGTGGAGGGAGCTGAAGGTTCGAGTTGCCAAACGTCCAGCCTCGAAACCTTAATGACTTGGAGAAGATCTGCAAAGAGGAGTGGGACAAAATCCCTCCTGAGATGTGTGCAAACCTGGTGGCCAATTACAAGAAACGTCTGACCTCTGTGATTGCCCACGGGTTTTGCCACCAATAACTAAGTCATGTTTTTGCAGAGGGGGTCAAATACTTATTTCCCTCATTAAAATGCAAATCAATTCAATAACATTTTTGACATTCGTTTTTTCTGGATTTTTGTTGTTGTTATTCTGTCTCTCACTGTTCAAATAATCCTACCATTAATATTATAGACTGATCATGTCTTTGTCAGTGGGCAAACGTACAAAATCAGCAGGGGATCAAATACTTTTTTCCCACACTGTATATCCATCCTGCCCTGCCTTTCGAACGTTTTTGAAAGCCAAGTTAACAAACAGATCACCGACCATTTCGAATACCACCGTACCTTCTCCGCTATGGCAATCCGGTTTCAGAGCTGGTCATGGGTGCACCTCAGCCACGCTCAGGTCCTAAACGATATTATAACCGCGATTGATAATAGACAGTACTGTGCAGCCGTCTTCATCGACCTGGCCAAGGCTTTTGACTCTGTCAAACCACCCGCATTCTTATTGGCAGACTAAATAGCCTTGGTTTCTCAAATGACTGCCTCGCCTGGTTCACCAACTACTTCTCAGATAGTACTTCAATGTGTTAAATCGGAGGGCCTGTTGTCTGGACCTATGGCAGTCTCTATGGGGGTGCCACAGGGTTCAATTCTCGGGCCGACTCTTTTCTCTGTGTATATCAATGATGTCGCTCTTGCTGCTGGTGACTCTCAGATCCACCTCTACGCAGACGACACCATTTTGTATACATTCATCGGACACTGTGTTAACAAACCTCCAAACAAGCTTCAATGGCATACAACACTCCTTCCGTAGCCTCCAACTGCTCTTAAAACACTAGTAAAACTAAATGCATGCTCTTCAATCGAACGCTGCTGACACCCGCCCACCCGACTAGAATCACTACTCTCGGCTGGTCTGACCTAGAGTATGTGGACAACTACAAATACTTAGGTGTCTGGTTAGACTGTAAACTATCCTTCCAGACTCACATTAAGCATCTCCAATCCTACGTTAAAACTAGAATCGGCTTCCTATTTCGAAACAAAGCCTCCTTCACTCATGCTGCCAAACATGGCCCTCGTAAAACTGACTATCCTACCGATCCTTGACTTCGGCGATGTCATTTTCAAAATAGCCTCCAACACTCTTCTCAGCAAATTGGATGTAGTCTATCACAGAGCCATCCGTTTTGTCACCAAAGCCCCTTATACTACCCACCACTGTGACCTGTACGCTCTTGTTGGCTGGCCCTCACTACATATTCGTCGCCAAACCCACTGGCTCCACTGGCTCTCTAGCTGGAGGTAAGCAGGAGGTAAGCTTCTCATATGGTGTTGAGTAAAGCTTAACCATGTATTAGATCATAGGTAGGTAGTCAGCTGTAGTTAGGTATTGTATTTATTATAGGTTAGTATTGTTGTTATTGTAGGTTTCCGTAGGTAATTGTAGGTTAGTATCGAAGCACGAGGCTAGCTAGCTAGCGGGTAGCTACTGGTAACGATTAGCAACGCTAGAGAGCTGGTTCCAATGTTAATGTAGTGCTAGCCAACG